ATACACAAACACCTGCGTTCGGTTCATGAGAACTGCCAGTATGGCAATTGCCGATCTAGTCATGAAATGTGATTATCAGCCGATACGATCTTCAGCTGATTGATTAGAGCATCCATATTCTTCAGTTAATCAGAGAGCTAATCCCTGCAAATGAACACTTCAAATTAATTTTGGCACACACAAAAATCCAGAAGAACATCTTGCAGGTAGATGAAATATAATAAATCACACGCAGTGTTGGAATGTACAAAAAACTATGGTCATTGTGCTTATGATGCACGTTTTTATATTTCAAGATTGAGGTAAAGTTGGTTTTACATACATTTAGATAATGTATTTAAATAAAGTAATTTAACCTTAATAAAGTAATTTTAGAAAAGCATTCTTTGCTAATTTAAATAGTGAAATCATATTAACAGCCAATGACTGTCAAAATACTGTGTTGTTTACAGTCAAATAAATAGAGAAAAAATTGTTTTCAAGTCATAATTAGATGTTTTCTGAACCGAATATTGAAAGTACTATGGTAAACAATATAGACAGTATGTCACAAGTTGTCACCGAACAAATGTGTAAATATAAAACCAACTTTACCTCAATTATTTTAAGTTAGACTGCGGGTATAAACAAAATAATGTTGTAACATTTCAGTTACTTATCCAGAATGATCTTTCCCTTTATAATATCTGTTGGCTGTAAATCTTTCTCAAACTTTTAGAAGTCATTTACTGGTATTTTAGAATGCTAAAAAAACTAAAATCTACATCTTGGATAGGCTGAAACTGATTATATTAACTGCAATTTTTACTTTCTTGGTAAACTATTAAATGTGTTTGTGATATAACGGTTGTGTCTAACTACACAATATTTGATGCATCATAAACCTTATTTTTGCAAAACGCTGAACGAGTCGATGATCCCTATAAATGGTGCCTAACTAGGCAGCTTAACAGGTTTTAAAACGCACCCGTGACAAACACATCAATCCACAAGCAGTTGTCAACAAACTTACACATCGCAACAAAACTAAGCGGCTATTGGGATTGTTTACATCTTAAAGCAAGACAGATTTACAACATACTAACGTTTAATCACTTAAAAACACAAGATGATGATTAATAACAGTCATTTGTTACACATAAAGCGATTTTAAATCGCACTCTAACGATGATAGCAGCTTTAAATTAAAACCTCGATGAATAAAGAGGCTCCCGGCATTTTAAAAGCCGAGCTTCAATCATAAATCGACCTTTATCTTTCTCTATCCATCTGCAACAACAAGCTAAGACGAAGACTGAAATAATATGATGTTTTTCTGTTCAGCTAATCGAGCCGTTCGGTTCATTGTTATTGGCCGTTAGCTGAGGGCAGGGCCTGATCTCAACAGCCCCAGAAAAGCACAGTTTAGCTCATTATTTACAAATGAAATGTGGCTAGAGAGAAAGAAGGAAAGTCGTCCGACCTCTTTTTGCTTCGGGTCCTGTGGATAAACGTCCGGAGGACCGAGTCTTGGCCGTTTAAGAGGCCTGTGTTCGTAGCTCAGAACGCCGAAGGCAGCCATCATCCCCGCGGCATGTCAGCCCGGTGTGTAGCCGATCCTGAGCGCTACTGCTGCGGCTAGAGCTCCGCTGCTTCACCGATGCTTCCGCTCAGACGGGGATGATGGGAAAATTCATGACAACATAAAAGTCCTTTAAGTACAACAGCTTCTTTTAAAAAAAAAAAAAAGGATTTTAATGTTTATTTTAGGATATCGTTATATTTATATTGTGGCTAACTGTATATTTTATTATTAATGACAAGTGTATTTAATATAAACTTCTGAAAATGATAAAAGTCCTAAATGAGAGCCATGAAACTGATATTTCGTAACCTACCTAATAAATTTTGTATTATGATCGTCATTTTAATGGATACGTTATTTAAAAAAAAAAAAGAAAAAAGTTTTCCATATAGGGGGAAATCACAAAAAAATCTAAATTTCATAAAAAAAAATTGTCTGTGAAAAAGATTTTCACAGACAACAGAAAACACACACACACACACACACGCACACACACACACACACACACACACACACACACACACACACACACACACACACACACACACACACACACACACACACACACACACAAAACATTATCTAAAAGACATCGTCTATCTCTATTGTTGTTATGTACAGAGAGATATAACCCTAACAGAAATTATTCCTTTATTCATTTTCTTTTCGGCTTAGTTCCTTTATTAATCAGGGTTCGTCACATGAACTGCCAACTTATTCAGCAAACGTTTTACGCAATGAATGCCCTCTCAGCCACAACCCAACACTGGGAAACACCCATACACTCTTGCATTCACACTCATACACAACGGACAATTTATTTATATATTTAAATTCACGGATACCGCAAGTATTTGGGGGAAACCGGCAATATTATCTGGAAACCGGAGCACCTGGAGGAAACCCATGCGAACACAGGGAGAACATGCAAACTCCACACAGAAATGCCAACTGACCCAGCTGGGGCTCGAACCAGCGACTTTCTTGCTGTGAGGCAATCGCATGAAATTGTCATATAATTAATATACTTACGGTGACGCAGTGGCACAGTAGGTAGTGCTGTCACCTCACAGCAAGAAGGTCGCTGGTTCGAACCTCAGCTGGGTCAGTTGGCATTTCTAAGTTTTATGTATTACACTTAGCATTTTTATACCAGCTTTTTACATAAAGAAGAGAGGCAGTTAATATATAAAAATACTTTTTATTCAATAAGCATTTTTATAACAAACATAAAACAAGTGTTCATAAAACAACCACAAAACTATAATCTCTGAATTTTAAAGAACAAGGCAACTCTCAATGAGTAATAACATTTCTAGATAACATATCTATTTTTGTGAACTCAATTCTCTTTATCCTGATATTTCCAGGATAAATATCCCAAAATATACTGCAAGGTGTCTATAGAGACCCACAAAGGGCCATAGAACCAAATCATTGCAAAACACAGGTGCAAATTTAAACTATGACATCCATTCTGATGTAATGTTTATATGAAGAAGTGCATGATATAAAACATACCTTGGTGTCAAACATACACTAAAGTCTCTTTGGATTTCACAAATCTTTCATCAGCACATTCACAATCAATGAAAAACCTGATGAAAATAAACCCCTTTAGATCAGAGCAGATAATGCTGTCCTAGTATTCAAAAATATGCACTTAAAATACAAACAAATTGTATTATTCTCTTGATAATGAACTCCAGCAAGAATTCACATTGCACTTTTTTACTAAAACACTAATCGGATCATGCTTTTGACAGAAATCTGCCAAAAACACAACAGCAGAGGCACAAAATTACAGTGTGAGTACCAAAAAGTGTAATACTAATAATAAATGGTAGTAAAAATAAAACATTCTATATCTGTGCTGGCTTCTGGAATGACTGATCTAAATGTCATCTTTGGTTAGATTCATATATGCTTGAAAAAGTCCGTTTTCCGTAAGGCATATTAACCTTATAGTCATTACAAATCTATAGAAACGAAAGAAATCCCAATCATCACTGTGCAAAATGTACTTCTACCACACACACAGGTAGAAGGAAGTGTCTTGTTATATGAAAACACATAATCAGCACTTGTTCAGACAGACTCCATGATTTTTCAACCATGCAACACAAATAAAGTGCTGGTAATGTGAATGCTTCCTTTGGAAAGCTAGTCTTCATGACATCATATGTCAAACTCTCTCTGTGTCCTCACTACAACATTATGATTGTCTTAGAGAGTACAAACAAGTAAAAGGACAATCTCAGTTTGAGCAGCTTGAGAGATTTTTAATCTGCATCTGGTGTAAATCTCAGCAGGTTGGAGGACTCTTGTCTCTCTGCGTGTGTTGTTGTGCTGAAGGTCTGTGTCTTCAGTGCCTTTTTAAAACTTATGGGCGACTAAACGTCTCTTCTGCGGCTTCCATCATGGCATGGAAACGGGAGTTTTCATCAGTCAGTAAGTTTGAAGGGGTGTCAAACTCCAAAATCTGAAAGATAAAGAAGATAATATGTCATCATGTGAATGTTTCGTCACAGTATATGTCTGTCATCAATAATGTAAATCTGTGAGGACTCAGTGGGTATTTTTCCAATTTACACAGAGAATGACTAAACAGAAGATTATAGAATACACAAGACATGTCACTCGTATCTTTTGGAATAGGGAAAAGTTAACAATCAATATGGTGAATAATTACTACTAGTAATTGCCTGCCTGCCTACTAGTACAGGAGCCAATCATAGATCGCTATATGGTGAAAAAAGCCTGCCTTCTAGTTCAGGAACCAATCACCAATTGCTATAGACTGGCGATACTCTAAGGGAGGGGCTTGGACCAGATGTGTTTCTGCAGAATTTGTGTGATTTTTATGTTCAGAAATGAAACTAAAGGGACAGCTGTTGTTTAATTTTATTGGTTATTCTTAATATAAAATTCAATCGTAAGCTTGGCAAGCAGTTTTGAAGAATTTGATGTTTTCCCATTCAAACAGAATGCCCGAGCATACTGCCCGAAAGGTGTTTCAAAGATAGCCGCCGAGTAAAATGACTTGCCTTAAAGGAACTTTGTTTCTATTTACTGTAGCTTCCTTATTCATTCAGTTTTTACAGTATTGCTGTATTACTGTTAAAACCTTTATTAACAATTTAAAGCATTGTTTATTTAATTTTTTTTTTGCTTCTTAGTATCGCTTTGAACACGGAATTTGTTTTAATTTCTTTCTTTATTGTACATTTCTAAAGCCTACTGTATTTATTTATTTATTTATTTATTTACTTACTGCACAAAGAAATAGATTTTTAACTCATGAACCTTTAAAGACAGACTGGTTGTCAGGCTGTTAACTGTTTGTATATGCTTTTGTTCAATCCATATATTCGTATGTATTATTCCTTAAGTTTCTCTATGAGTGGAGAAAAACTACAATACCCATGATGCTGTGCAGACAATTCCACCAATCACAGTGTGATAGTAAGCAATGTGCTACATCCACGAGTATTAAATGACATAATCAAGTTAATCTCTCTCTTTCACACTCACTCGCTCAAAATGATTTACAGTACATATCTGTATGCAATGAACTTGAAATATATGATTTCAATGGATTCATCCAGCAATTTTGAATGAATCCTTTTAAATTTCTCTATCATTTCTTGTCATTGCAGTGCTTAACGAGACTGTAGTTCTTTGTCTCTTTGCCTTGTATTGTTTTTCTTTGCTTTACTCAAACTTTGTAATAATTCTCCTCATAGTTGGTTGGTTTAATGCTCATATGTTGTACTGCTGTAAAAAATCCCTCTGGAAGAAAAAAAAACTTCCAGAACCAGCATGCTGAAAAGTGACACTAATGCACTCTGCAGACTGGTAAAGGTCTGATGAAGTGCTTTGAAATGTGCATTTCAATGTTTGACGTAAATTTATCCGAAACATTAAAAGAAGATGGGCCATTGTGTAGCTCCTCCCCTTTAAAAAAAACAGCCAATAGCATTTTGTTTTACCACAGTTCTGCCAGTGAGAATGGTTGAGCTTAAGCGCATCAAATGAAAAGCAAATTTGAAGCGTCTTTAATGAGGTGGTGTCAGATACTAGTGAGCTTTTGATTGGTCAAGATTTGATGAGAGACTAAAGTATGAGGTGGAGTGAATAAAACTGTTGATTCATTTAGGCGGTCGTGACAAACTACAAGCTTTACATTTTTATATCAGTCCTATATATATATTCTAAACGTGAATTTTGTCACTGTTTTAGAGCACACTAGCTAATAGTTATCCTAAAAACTACCCAGGTAGAAAAGAATTCTGTCCCAGATTGGGCATAAATCTGACACAGCAGGCATTCAGCCGGCATTGGCATACAGCTAGGCATGGGCCGGTATAAGAGTCTGATGGTATGATAACCTTGGATAAAATATCTTGGTTTCACTATATTGTGAGTACTGATCTAAAATATATTCTTTTTACATGTCTGGGTAAAAAAACTAAAACATTTTTCCTTTTTAAACACAATACTTTATTTTAAGAAACATTTATAATATTTTGGAACAGTAAACATGTCAGGCTAAATTATTAACATATTGACTTCTGCTGTCTTTTATAGTTTCTAAAACAGATTATGTTTAAAATTTAAAATAGCATCTTTGGATATCTTTTCTGCGAGAGACACAGTTGTCCTTTAAAAAAGTCGAAAAAATCATGCACATACGTTAGGAACGGTATAGCAGAAGATTTTTACGATTTTTAAACCTTGACTTTTTCAAACCGCGGTAGAACTTGACAACGGTTATCGTCCAATGCCTACACAAGCATGTGGGCCAAACATGGCCCTGGTTTGGCAGAGGTGGCCCTGTCTCTAAGGGGACACACAATTCTTGGGCCAGATGTAAAATGTAGTATTTGGCCCAGATGTAAAAAATTGATATGTGATCCATGTAAGTTTGGCCTGTCTTGACCCACATTTAAAACACATTTTTATTATTTTCAAATAAAGAAAAAAAACTTCTACTAATCAGGTCGCTTTGAGAAAAAGCACACCTGTAGCATGCCTAAAGCACAATGATTCATGGGTTTATTAATTTCATTGCAGTCGTAACACACCAACCTAATCTGGCCCAATTCAGGCCCAGTTTTGGGTTATCAACTTGGCAGAGGCTTGATCCATGTTTGGCCCTTGTCTGGAAGCCAGACTTGGTCCAGTCATGTACCATAATTCATTGCAGCATGTGGGCCAAGCAAAAGCTGACTGAGTGTGCCAGAGCTGGGTCAGAGATATTTTGCTATGTGGGTAACAATACTGATACTAATATCTAAAAAACTTTATTTTAATTTCATGGGACCTTTAACACCCACATCTTTTTGCTCTAAACTCTGTCTCTAAATATTCCTAATAATAGTTTGGGTTGACAAAAACTACACTAAATGCACTTTTTACACACAAAATTACACTTTTTTTTTTTTTTTTTTTACAGTTATGCCCACATTACCTGCCCAAAGTTTATTTCAAATACATTTGAAGGCAAATAAAACCCCTCCTGTGAAATGTGTCTTATTTTTTCTAATTTCAAATTGTCAAAGTGATGTTTAACAGAGGAATGAAATGTTCACCATATTTCCTACAATGGATATTTTTTTCTGAAGAAAATCTTATTTCTTTAAGTTGCCTGAAATAAAGGCAGTTTATTAATTACTCAAATCATTTTAATTGAGGTCAATATTATCAACTTCTCAAATATTTTTTTTCTATTGGTTACAAAACAAACCACTGCTGTCCAATGACTCGCCTAATCAACCTAGTTAGGCCTATAAATGGCAAACTAAGCTGAAATTGTATCTTCAAAACTAGTAAAATATTTTGTACTGTCATCATGACAAAGACAAAATATTTTTTCTTTAATTTTTTTTATTAAAACAATTAAGTAAAAAAAATGTGTAGAAAAATTAGTTTTGAAGCTGAACTGTGATTCTTAAAGTCTGTGTGAAATCTCACTGAATTTAAAATTTCCACAACATTAAGAAAACATTTATTTATTCATTTTCTTTTCAGCTTAATCCCTTTGCTAATATGCGGTCGCCACAGCGGAATGAATCACCAATTTATCCAGCATATGTTTTACGCAGCAGATGCCCTTCCAGCTGCAACCCATTACTGGGAAACATCCATACACACTCATGCGCTACAGTTAATTTTAGCATACTCATTTCACCTGTACTGCATGTCTTTGGACTTGTGGGGGAAACCAGAGCACCCGGAGGAAGAACATGCAAACTCCACAGAGAAATGCCAACTGACCCAGCCGAGGTTCGAACCAGTGACCTTCTTGCTGTGAGGCATATGTGCTACTCACTGCGCCACCGCATGGTCATTAAGAAAACTATTGATTACAAACAACTAATGATATAACGGATACATATCAGATATTCCTACTCATACATTGTGTCCACATCCACTTTAGGTCACTGTATGATTATAACGGTATGAGACGCACCTGCCCCTGGTCCAGCACCATGATCCTGTTGCAGCCCAGCACAGTGTTGAGACGATGGGCGATCACTAGAGTCGTGCAACCGCTGAAAGAGCTGCGAATAGTGTCCTGTATGAGGCGGTCCGTCTCTGTGTCAATAGCAGCTGTTGCCTCATCTAACAGCAGGATCTGAAGGACAAGATCTCAAGGTTACATGTCTGTGATCATGAATGTCAGAATCTAAATCTCTTTAATGGCCAGTAGTTTGAAGAAACTGTGAAATGACATGATGGGCACATGCAGTTTTCTTGCTGTACTTGCAAGTCCGGTGGTTTTTAAGATAAAAAAGACATATTTTATTAGATTTAGGTGTATTTTGACAAAAATCACAGAAACTTAATCAAATAATGCTGTACAGTATTAATAGTGCTTCACTTTTTCCATATTTTTTTGTTACATCCTTATTCCAAAATGGATTAAATTCATTTATTTACTCAAAATTCTACACACAATATCCCATAATGACATGTGAAAAAAATTCACTGATCACTGCTGAAACATCTCAAGAATAATAAGTGGAAACAGAATGTACCTGGCAAAGGTTGGCAAAGGTTGTCAATACTGATGTACATGTGATTTTTCAGCTTTTTAAATTTTAATAAATATTAAAATTAAACATTAAATATTAAAAAAAAGTCAATAATTGTAATCTACGGTGAGATTGTAGCTGCAAAAGTTGTCTGATAACAGCCACACAGAGATCTGATCTGATTTGATCTGATCATCATCCAGTCTGTCTGAAATGACACGAAGAAACTGAACACACTGAGAGAAACTAAATCTAGAAACACTTTGGCAACTAAGGATATGAAAAGCTACTCATCGATGAATTTGCTCTTCAGTGTTTGCAATCTCAATAATGACTTCAAACCACACTGAACTGAGCTAAACTGAACTGAACCTAAACACTAAAAACTGAACTACCCTGATCCAGTTCTATGACCATTTATGTGAAGCTGCTTTGACACAATCTACATTGTAAAAGCGCTATACAAATAAAGCTGAATTGAATTGAATTGAATTAAGTACCTACCTGCAAAGCTACAGTACAGTTCAGAAATTTAGGCACTTGTGTAAATGCTGTTAAATGAGGATGCTTTAAAAAATAATGCATAAATACATTTTAGTTATCAATTAACGTATACTAACTAAATCAAATCAACATTTGGTATGTGGACTTGCCCATAGTTTTTAAGGTAGCTTTGCAGTTAGGTTTTTCTTACATTGAATTCAAAGACAACACAAGCATAAAAATAAAAAAAATAAATAAAAATAAAAACACGCCATTAACAACAACCAAAAACTAAAAGCTACTAAAAATGAGATATTTATTAATCCATCCCATCAACAACTCTTTCCACTAAAGAATAAAGATTTAGATGTGAAGTTACACAAATCTTACACAAAAAAACAAAAATAAAACAACAACACTTAAAACCCATAATTGAATTAGTTAAAAAGTAGTCGAATCAATAAAGAACATTTAATTCCTAGATCAAGTGTAATCCTTTTACATTATTTTAAATCTCATTAATTCAATTTCTTTTGGCTTAATCGCTATTTCAGAAGTCGCCACAGCTGAATGAACTGCCAACTATTGCGGCATATTTCGGCCCTTCCAGCTGCAAACCAGTAGTGGGAAACACCCTCATTTACATACACACTCATGCACTATGGACAGTTTAGTTTATTTAGTTCACCTATAGCCCATGTCTTTGGACTGTGGGGGAGAACATGCAAACTCCACACAGAAATGCCCCAGAGAACTAACCCAGTCGTGACTCAAACCAGCGACCTTCTTGCTGTAAAGTGACAGAGACTTTAAATTTACATAAACTAGAACTGACTATAGATTACTCTAATGTTTGAAAACAAAGCTAAAGCAGTGAGAGCAGTGTAACTTTTTCCTTTAAGAGGAATTATTTACCATAGTGAGGAGTTTGCTCCATGTAAACTGTGATATTACAGCATGCCCCTTTCTGGTATTATTGCACATACTGTAGAACAGTGGTTCTCAAAGTGGGGGTCGGGACCCCCCGAGGGGTCGCGGGGCAATTAAGGGGGCTCGCCAGGTGATTTGCAAAAATCTATTTTTTTTTAAACCATAAGAATTAACTTATTTTATCCATAACTAAACTGAAAATAAAAATAGTCGTTTATAGTTACTATATACTATATAGTTACTATAGTAGCTTATAGTTACTAGTTCTATTGGATTGCGACCCCTGGGGTAATTACATTATATTAAAGGCAGCAATAGCGTCAGATGCATTTTGATTTTATAACATCAGGTTATACTTTCTGGCACATTTTAAGCACTGACACAAATTTAATTGGTGTGTCAGCGTCATTGCATGCAAGGTTTTGTATTTATAACCACCTCAGAGGATATTGGGGGTCGCGAGTCACTGGCATTGTTATTTTGGGGGTCGCGGGCTGAAAAGTTTGGGAACCCCTGCTGTAGAAAACCTTCACAGATTTACATTATGAGTAAAAAAAAAAGGTTGAACATTCACCGTCTGCCATGTGGTGGCAATGTTTCGCCATTTTAAAACAGTTGACATTTACTACAATTGCTTCTCAGCTGCAGGGGGAAAACAATAACAAATGCAAGCAATATAGTGAGACTAACCACATAATCAAATGTAGTTATTGCAGCAAAATAAACAGCTTTATCAATTTTAAAAAGGCAGAAGCAAATGCTAGCTCACGTTGCTGATTATATTCCTGTCACTTCTGTCACCAACACCAACATCCTTGAAAATCTTTTACAAAACTACCTTAAACACTGTAAATATAGGTATAAATGAATAAAGCAACATCGAAATTAGATAATAAGCCACTGATTTGTATTCAACTGACAGCACAACTTTAATTCACAAAGACCAGGTAAAGCATACACTCTTATAACAACAACAACAACATCAATCCTTTATAACAGCTTTTATGTAACATTCTTACATCTTAAACTTCATGTGAAGTCGGAAACAGTTCAATAGTTCACCCAAAAATGGCTTTGTTGTTGATTCATCAGATGTTGCAGCAAACCTCTGCTGCAGAAGAAATGTTACTAACCAAACCATTTCCATTCTCACAGACTTCTTCCACTGCATTTTATGTATATGTAATGTAGGTCTACAGGCTCTTACACACAGTGAAATTCGCCAAAATAAATTACATGCACAAATGTGCTTTTCACACAAGCAAACAGCGTTCTATCTTTTTACCAGGAAGACACTATTCCCACACCAGTAGCAAAATACAGTGATGTCGATCACTGGAATTGTTTTTAAAAGCAGCCTCATTTTCTTCACCCACCTGGATGAGGAGAAGAGCTTTTATTTCGCTGTCCGTCAAATTTGATTATATTTTTTAAAGCTTGTGAGTGATGGGCATAAGGAGATGCTCACACAAAATGTTTTTGTGCTTCATAATGTGAAACAGAAAATTAGTAACCCTGCGTTCACTGCATAGTCCATTCTGCAGCTCTGACAAATGTAAAAGTATTGAAGCGCCAGATGCAGTGAGACAGTCATGCTTTTGCATATTTACATAAAAAAACAAACAAACAGTTAAATGCAGTTGATCTTACTGTAAACAGCTCTGACTGAGCGTATGGCTGTCTAAAGCAGGTCTAAACTTTACTTCAGTAATCAGGGTTGGGTTTAATAAGTTTAATTACAAATGAATTACTGTAATTAAATCACTTTTCCACTGAAAAAGTTAAGTGATTACTCTCTCTTACCTAAATACTGTAATTAAATTCAACAGTTCTGTACAAATCACTTAAGAGAAACAGGGTCATTGTATCTTTTTTATTCAAATATATTTTGCAGAATGAATCTATTCATTCATTCATTCATTTATTAATTTTCCTTTGGTTTAGTCCCTTATTTATCAGGAGTCACCACAGTAGAATGAACCAGCAACTATTCCATTCAATGTTTTATACAGCGGAGATCCTTTCAGCTGCAACCTAGTACTGGGAAACACCCATACACTCATTCCCACACACACACACACACACACACACACACACACACACACACACACACACACACACACACACACACACACACACACACACACTCATCAACTACGGCCAATTTAGTTTATCCAATTCACCTATAGTGCATATCTTTGTACTGTGGGGGGAAACCGGAGCACCCGGAGGAAACCCACACAAACACAGGGAGAACATGCAAACTCCACACCGAAATGCCAACTGAAACAGTCAGGACTCGAACCAGTGACCTTCTTGTTGAAAAATATGAGGTATAAATTCAGAGAATTACAGTAATTTTTATTCAGATACTTTGCATAACTCAGTTTGTTAAATGATAAATGTTATGAAAATGTTTAATTTGTTCAATGACAATTGCAGAAGGCAACAATGAAATGAGTAAGAAACTTATGTCAATATATGGTATGTATGAAGTACGCTGTCATTAATTTTAAATGTTTCGACACATAAGATGTTTAACATATTTTAAGTGTTTAATAAAAATAAAAACTAAAAGGTAATTCATTCATTCATTCTCTTGTCGGCTTAGTCCCTTTATTAATCTGGGGTCACCACAGCGAAATGAACCGCCAACTTATCCAGCACGTTATTACGCAGCGGATGTCCTTCCAGCCACATCTCATTTCTGGGAAACACACGCACGCATGCACGCGCATGCACACACACACACACACACACACACACACACACACACACACACAAACGCAGGGAGAATGTGCAAACTCCACACAGAAACGGCAACTGAGCCGAGGTTCAACCAGCGACCCAGCGACCTTTTTGCTGTAAGGCTAAAGGTAATGTGTGACTTAATTTATTTTTTTTTCGATTCTATTATAAGCTTTATAGGGATTTTAAGCAGTATTAAATCAAGTTACATTTCTGACATGGTAGTTAAAAACTCGATTTAAATATAATTGAAATGATATAATAAGTAATTAACTACTTTTTTTTGAAGTAACACTGGCCACCACACAAGAAAATCAAAAAGAATGTGACACTAAATATGGGTTCATTTTTAAATAAGTTGAATAATATTTGAGCCGTTGGTGATGTGCCACTGTGCTTTGTGCATCCTGAGTTCGAGCCTTGACAATACCCCCACCAGCCTCTCTCTCTCTCTTTCCAACTTCACTTCCTGTCTAGCTATTGTACAGTTGTAATAAAGAGAAAAAAATGAGCAAAATAAAGTAATAAAGGAAGACCTTAAGCCTTCTTCAACGGCTCATTTGGGCTGAAAAGCTTTCATGTATATCAGCATCTATTGATCCAAATAATTCAAATTTCAGTCATTAATTGAAAGAGAATATTTAAAACATTTAAAATCCTTTTATAGAAAAATGAAATGTCATGCACATGCAGTGACAGAGGACTGGTGAAATATTTAACACACAGAACAAGATGACTCGTCTTTTGTTTTTTTTTAAGGGAGTGGTGCATTTTTACAGCTTGATAAATGTTGCCAGTGCGGAACTAATCTTTACTTGCTGGTGAAATAGAGACATTTTAGGAGCAGCTAGTGCTAAAACCTACAGTAAATTTACATATTTACATATTAAAAAAATAGAAAACTCTAATTGTTCATTGTGTCTGAATCAAAAGATCAAATATAATCTGAATTTATCGGATACAAAAAAGCACAACAACATGATCACTTTATTTAGCGTTCATGAAAACAACACTCAGATTTATTTATCATAATGATTTTCTGAAGCAACTTTGATGAAAGTTTTTGATCCTCATCAAATGTTGACTACTGTATTAAAGAATTGGTCAATATTATTATGCCCTTTTCGATTGGCTACAGATCAAAACACTGTTGTCCAATGACCTGCCTAATGGGGTATATGCAGAAGTATGCTGAAGGACTTTTAATTTGCGGTAACCTGGGTCAAGCACTTTCCTTGAACTGTATTGGTGCGGTTTTATTTAGAAATCAACAATGTTCAATGCCTGATTAATATAGGATTTAACATCTCAGCATATACAAGATGCATTGCACTAAATACCATTGTCCCACATGTCTTTAAATTATGAACATTTATTTCACTCCTGTTAGACCCTCTTTGATTGGCTACAGATCAAAACACTGTTGTCCAATGACTTGCCTAATTGACCCAACTTACCAAAATATCTTAGTTAAGCCTTTAAATTGCACCTTAAGCTGAATACTTATTACATGTAAAGTAAATACTTACAGCATATCATAATATCTTGTAAAGTACTGCAAAAATATTTTGTACTGTCATCATGGCAAAGTACATACAATTATAATACATAAAATTTATGTATTATAAAGAAAGGAATTTAGGTATTAGAAATTAGTTAAATTATTTAAAACTATAATGTTTAAAATATGTGTTGAAAAAATCTATCCATTAAACACAGGAGGGCTCATTATTTTTCTTTAATTGTGTACTTCCTAGTAATAAAAACCCATTTCAGGATTGTAAGATGTTTATTTAGCATGAAGAGTATGTTGTTACTTGGATAAAGTGAGGTGAGAAGGGGCTCAAGAGTGTTTCTAGTGTGAATAGTTACGGTACCTTGCTGTGTCTGAGAAGAGCTCTGGCCACACAGAGCAGTTGTCTTTCTCCCACTGAGAAGTTCTCTCCATTATCCGTCACTTCTGAATGTAGTGAATTAGGTAACTGGCTTACCTGAAATCAAATCATCACACAACACCTCAATCAACAGCAAAGCCATTTGTCTTTTTGAAAATCCTTCCATAATCTCTTTCTTTCACTCACCATGTCTTTTATATGTGTTTTTTCCAGTGCTTCCCAGATCTGTGCGTCTGTATATTGATCCCAGGGATCCAGATTTGATCTTTTGAGAAGATAAGCAAGAAAGTTTATGCTGCAAGTCTACTAATGCTGCATTGCTTTTGTACTTTGTTCTAAACTACGAGTACCCAGTATGACGTTTGACACCCTTTCAAGTAAGAGTTCACATTTTGAAATTAGGAGGAACCACAATAACTTTGACTATTACGGGTGATCTGAAGTCAACAGATTTTTTTGTTGTTGTTGTTTATTGGCCTCTTATAGTTAGGCATTTAAACATTGACGTTCTGGCTAAAATGAGACAAAAGAAGGCTAAAACAAAATTCACAGGTTGTCAGTAAAAATCTAATAGACATCTAAAAATAGTCCAAGAATGGACTGACATATGAATAACAACATATGTGTGGTCTGTCCAATCTTTCTATTTAGTGACAAGGCTATTCTTGGAATATTTTCAGACTTATTTTAGATGTTAGCCCATTTTCAGTTTCAACCAATACATCTGTGTTCAGGCATCTATTAGACATCTAATAAACACACACACACACAAATGTTTGCTGGGTTGCATCTCAGTAAATCCTGTGGTGCAAAGAGTAATATCTGTGGACAAGACACTTCATTATGTGAGCAAAATACAGACTGTTTTTGTATTTTCTTTTTTTTTTAATCAAACAGAACTGCCTTCAGTGGACAAATCTGTCTTGGCCCCAATTTACACTTGGTTTTAAGAAGCATTTCAGTCCAATGCCAAGTGGACAACTTTTGTGTCTTTTGTTTAAACTTTTAAATTCAGTCAGCTAGTCCAATGGCTTCTGGTGAATTGTCACCCCAAACAAAATTGCTGTGTTTAAGATCTGATTTCTTAAAAAAAAAAAACAGCAATCTTCACTGCCTGGCTGAGATATGATATAAAGTGGGTATCAGACCAAACAAGAAGCACAGCATTAAATAATATTTTTTCGCACAATGTCTTTAAAATATGGAAATTAATTTTACCCCAGTGTTTTTAATGGAATTTCTGTACTAGCCTGCTGCTTATGATGGCGCCGGGTCTTTCAAATAATTTTACACTTTTTTTTCCCCGTATCTTTTTATACCGTTGCTCCAAACTGCCTGCTGATTTTTTTCATCACTCTTTGTTTATTTCCATATGTGAGAATGTAAGTTTCCAATGTGTATGTTAATTCTGACCAATCAAAATGCATTTCAGAAAATTCATGAAGCCAATGACTGATGTGGATGTTGTCATGTGACTGCAATTTGGTTCGCTCCAACTGGTTCAGTCGGTCTGGTGTGAAACTGAACCAGAACAGCTGGAAAATGCAACAAAGTAAAATTTTGAACCTTGGTCTGGACCAATGGAAACAGACGACAGGTGTGTAGTTCATTGTGTGATTAGTTTATTTAACAGTGTCCTTCAATTTCCTAAACACTCCCATGATTGTGATGTAGAGTTTTAAAGGAAAAAACAAATGTTGTTGAAATAAGACCTATATTCTGGTTCCTCATGGCCTCTTTTTTTAATCCAATCAATTCCAAATGAATAAAATGTACTCCAGTCCTCCATTTTTCGTGGTTGAATATCCTATTTTCTACTGAGGAACTGTATATCATACTACAGAAGTGACTCCAGCTGTTAGCACATGGCTAGTCTTGGTAAAGTGACGTGGAGCGTACCTGACAGTACCGATGAAAAGAACGGGCTCTTGGGGGATGACTGACAGCTTGCTCCTCAAGTCCTCAAGACCAATGTGAGCGATGTTGACACCATCGATGATGATTGATCCACGGCTTAGCTCCGCTAGTCTGAAGAGTGCGACGCCCAGTGAAGATTTCCCTGAAGAAAGAACCAACCTGTGTCACAACTGATTTCCTCCACCAGTAATACGACTCACAGTACAGACAAAGACAGGCAACATCAGATAGAATGAAACAGTCAAGCAGACAAGTATACCTGAGCCCGTTCTCCCAACGATCCCTATGGTCTCTTCTGGAAGAATGCTAAAACAGAGGTTCTTCAAAACCAGTGGAAGACCATCCCGATATCGCATCTCTACATCCTGGAAGGTGATTTGTCCTTCTGCTGGCCAGCTGGACGAGGAAGTGGGGCATCCAGTGATCTGTCGAGGACCTTCGCTTTCCAGGTTCTGCATAAACACATGGCATAACGATTATACGGTGTACTTCACAGCTCAGCAAGACCATTACTGGCTTTATTAATCACAGTAAAATGCTCTCCATGAAGACAGCTGTACTGTTGTGCTTTGATAAGTGCCTTGTGAAACGAGTGGAGTCACATGCTATGATGTTCTGGCTGGTAATAAACATGTCCCATGATCCCTGCTGAGCAAGATGTAGCTGCCTCACTATGCAGCGTGGCGACTGTTGGGCTCGACGGCCTTTCATTTTAAAGCACCAATGTCCTTTGTGCGCTGTGCCAATTGAATAACAAATAGTCTGTCCCTTTCTATTTTCCATTGACAGCCAGCACACATGTGTCACCTTTATGTAATGATTGATCCGCTCCACTGATGTAAATCGGGCTTCGGTTTCAGAAAGGAGCCTCACGGTGAACTGAAACAGGCCGGTCAGCTGGATATGGGAAAGGAGAGAAAATGGGCAGTGAATAATAACTATGAGCAACAGTGAGCAATACAAATGAATCAATGCACTGTAAACTTCTTGTACAACACGAGGTCGAGTCAGATGGAGAGCAGCGCACCTGTACGGCGTAGGAGAGGGCCAGGCCAGCGTAGGCAGGAGAAATATGGCCATGCATTAAGACGATGAGAAGGGCTACTGTGGTGATGAGGGAAATACTGATGAGGTCCAGACGCACAGCCAGCCATCGCATAGCACAGCTGAACAGAAATTGGCACGCTTGGTTTGTGTCAAGCAGGGCTTGATACCTGGTGGAATATTACAGATATTTAGACCCTCAAAAACATACTATGAATCTTGCAGTACAGATTACATAGATATCTCCAGTGTTTAGTGTCACAGAAATCATTCGAATAGCCTGATTACATGCTCCAGGCGAAGTGGTGGCACAGTGGGTAGCGCTCTAGCCTCACAGCAAGAAGGTCGCTGGTTTGAGCCTCGGCTGGGTCAGTTCGAATTTCTGTGTGGAGTTTGCATTTTCTTCTCGTGTTCGCGTGCGTTTCCTCTGGTTTCCCCCACAATCCAAAGACATTTGGTACAGGTGTATTGGGTAAGCTAAAACTGGTCATAGTGTATGTGTGTGATTGAGTGTGTATGGATGTTTCCCAGAGTTGGGTTGCAGCTGGAAGGGCATCCGCTACATAAAACATTTGTTGGAAAAGTTGGTGGTTCATTCCACTGTGGCGACCCCAGATTAACAAAGGGACTGAGCCGGAAAGAAAATGAATGACTGAATGATTTATTGCTTGAGAAACATTAATACATTTGTGAAAACTATGATCATTTTTAGCAATCATCTTCAATCTTTTGTGACAGCATAAATATCAATTTAAATCAGTTTGATTTATTTTTAAATGTATTATTTTTGTTTCTTTTTTTGGCAAATTTTTCTTGACCAATTTTTTTAAAAGGAAGTGTTTGTTGGTATTCATCATACCTCACTGTACATTTTCACAGTTAGTTGCTTAATTAGTTAGTAACAGTAAAGTTTATTCATTTTTGTTTCGACTTAGTCCCTTTATTAATCAGGGGTCACCACAGTGGAATGAACCTCCAACTTATCCAGCACATCTTTTACGCAGCGGATGCCGTTCAAGCCGCAACCCAACATTAGGAAACACCTATACATTCTTGCATTCACACACATACACTACAGCCACTTTAACTTATTCAATTTACCTATACTGACCCAGCTGGGGCTCAAACCAGCAACCTTCTTACTGTAAGGCAATCTTGCTACCCACTGCACCACCATGACGCCCTACAGCCAATTTAGTTTATTCAATTCACCTATAGAATTCACCAATCCTTACTTAACACATTATTGCCTAGACTAATTTTCCACCAACAGTCAGACTATGTGTACACCTATCTATTGTCTTCTACGTATTACTGTCAACATTGCTAAATGTATATTGTTTTGTTTTTTGGGAGTATGTTGTTGTGTTTTGCACTGTCTGGAGCCAGCACCTAAGGCTTTTCACTTATCATAGTACACATGCTGCTGCTGATGTGACAATAAAAGTGACTTGATTTGATTTGATAGCACATGTCTTTGGACTGTGGTGAAAACCGGAGCACCAGGAGAAAAACCCATGCCAACACAGGGAAAACATGGCCCAGCTGGGAATCAAACCAGTGACTTTATTGCTGTCAGGCAACAATGCTAACCACTGAGTCACTGTAAGTAAAGTTATTTTTTGTCAAATCTGATTGATCAATCAAGGCCAATTGTAAAAACTTCAGCTCATTGATTAGATGATATAAGGCAATATAACTCTGATAACTAGGGCCAGACAGAATCTGTGGACATTTTTTGCTATTTCTGCAGAGAATTTTGTAAAAAGTTTACAAATTTACGCAGAATTATTTTGGATGTATCGTAACTAAAAACGTAATGTATGAAATAAAAAATACTAGCTTTTTAACTTTAATGTTCACATTGCAAATTCATCTAGATCCACGTATTTGGTTAACAAAGCAAGTCTATCATATAATGTATCTACTAAAAATAATACTTTACAAACAGTATTGTAAATAAATCAAATGACTACTTTCATATCAGTTAATATTACTGAAATTAATTTCAAAACTGAATAAATATAAATGTACACACATTTACACAAGTAAATAAATGGACTCAAAAATGAGCCAAAAAATGTGGGTGCAGATTTCGTGTTGGCCTACTGATAACTCATCACATATGATATAAAACTGCAAGTATAAAGCATTACAATATAATTCAACTTTAATTAAATCCTATTATTGGTAGGTTTTTTATTTTAAAACAAAACTTCTTTGTGAAGTGTGCTTGTATTGTCATTTTTTGAAAATAAATGGTAACAACTAATATTCTCCCATCTGTCCTGATTATCACATCTATTTTCTTTTATTTGTGAATATGTTTTGGAGCAAAGTTTCATCAGTTCTGCAAGTTCTGCAAAGTCATAGAGGGCATTCTGTTGTCTGAAAATTACCTGTGTATGAAGTCAGCACCCCTGCCGTAAGCGTAGATAGTGGACAGTCCTTGCAGACTGCTGGTGATATGAGAGGTGAAAGGGGATTGGCTGATATTTTCCAGGCGCTTCAGCTCACGAATGAGAACCCTTTGGGTAAAAAAGGACAATCAGTATATTTATATATATATATATATCTTTCAGTACCTGACAAAAAGTCAGCCAGTGATAGAATGTGAGCAGCGATATACGGCTGAGTTTTGATCAAAGCTCTGGCTCATCTCATCTGCTTATCTGTGTGGCTCACAGAGCTGCCTGTGATGTGACAGGTTAGTGGCTTATGAGATGGAGGCCCACAGGGGACAATAATGGTGAGACTGAGGGGATCTTCCTGCCTGAGCTGCAGTCATTTCTGCCTTCTGAACTGATTTATATGGGGCTTTATGAGGCCTGTCACACGTCAGCACTAGCGCAGACAGGACAGCAGAGTCAACATGTAGCATGAGGCAGAGGCAGGACAACGCTGATGAAAAACCAGACGCATTTATATATATACTGTGCTCAGAATATATACTCACCCCTCACAAATCTCTCTTTTAAATTCATATTTCTAATAAGAAGCTATACAATATTATATTTTTGCCTATACATTAGATTAGTCAGTACTGAAGCCACATCTGGAGCCAAAAACTAATACACCCAATTTTAAAAAGGGGAAAAATCAAAAGAAGCAAAACAAATAAAACAAATTTGTTGAAATTTTGCAATATTTTGCTTGAATTTTATTGTATTATCTTTCAATTTTTAAATCTGTTTGGTGACTAAAATATTATTTTAATAAATATATCTGTTTAATAAATATGTTTTGTTTAAATACACCAAAATACATTCCGTATATTCACTGAGAAATGGATAATATTAATTTTTAAAATGTGGTGTATTCAGTTATGCTGAGCACTGTATATATATAATGTTCGGTAATGTTTGTGTAATACATGGTTCGATGAATCAAATTTATGTCTTTAAATTATCTCATTTATAAATAACATTTACTTTTTTTGTGTTTTGAATAATGTTTAGTCTATTTTGGCAAACAGAACCCTCTGATTCATTATTTAAGAGGTTACTGTAGGTCAAACTATATCTAATTTGACTTTACTTCTAAGATATATGTTGATACAAACACTCATTTTATGAGAAAAGTGTCTAGTGAAAACCTACAATGTCTATCGGTGCTCTGATCTGCCGTTTTTGGATCGTTAATATGTTTTCTCTCGCATAGAATTATTGACACAATTATGCATTTACTATGGTATGAACCGTTAAAGGGGTGGTCAAATATATATTTATATTATCTTTTATTTATTTGTTCATTCATTTTCTTTCGGTTTAGTTCCTTTATTCAACAGGGGTCGCCACAGCGGAATGAACCGCCAACTATTCCAGCAGATGTTTTACACGGCGGCTGTCCTTCCAGCTACAACCCAGTACTAAGATAATTATTATTAACATTATTATTCAAGATAAAAAAAAACTTTAGATCAAAACTTTCTCACTCCTCATAATTGATTACAGTTAAATGTAAAAAAATAATAATATAAATAAACATATTTGATTCATGACTACGAAGTAAAAAAAAAAACTCACTTTAACAATGTTTGTTACATACTTAAAAAAATTATGTAACAGATCTTTGCTTAAATAAAAACATTTATTCCCCAGTATTATATTACAATATTCATTAATTTATTTTCCTTTGACTTAGTCCCTTATTAACCAGGGGTCGCCACAGCCAAATGAACCAGCATATGTTTTACGCAGCAGATGCCCTTCCAGCTGCAAGCCAGTACTGGAAAACATCCATACACACACACTCATACACTACGGCCAATTTAGTTCAACCAATTCACCTATAGGGAGACGGGATGGCACAATCGCCTTACAGCAAGAAGGTTGCTGGTTCGAGCCTCGACTGGGTCAGTTGGCATTTCTTTATGGAGTTTGCATGTTCTCATTTTGTTGACGTGGGTTTCCTCCGGTTTCCCCCACAAGTCCAAAGACATGCAGGTGAATTGGGTAAGCTAAATTGTCTATAGTGTATGTGTGTGAATGAGTGTGGTGTATAGATGCTTCCCAGTGAAGGGTTGCAGCTGGAAGGCCATCCGCTGCGTAAAACATAAGTTGGCATTTCATTCTGCTGTGGCAACCCCTTTTTAATAAAAGTTTCAAAGTCAAAAAGAAAATGAATGAATGAATTTACCTATAGCGCATATCTTTAAACTGTGTGAAAAACCAGGGGTGCCGTTTTTGGAGATGTAACTTAAATTCCGCCTTTAAAATGATAGGTCACCTATAGCTTTCGCCATGAGCCACGACAATATGTGTTTCAAACGACATCAATGTTTTCAAAGTGCACTGCGAAGGTAGCACAATTAAAACATGAAGATCGCTAAAACTGAATGTAAAAATACTTTGAAAGCAAATTACACCTAGGAGAGATGACCTTAATGCTTTATTTAAAAAAAATCATTCCAAGTTTAAATGTTAGAATGTTCTAAACGAACAGGGCATAGGGGGGTAAGAATAAAACACAGACAGGAGCTATGTTTCTAACTACAGCTCCAGAGGTGTAGTTACAAGCATAGAAGTTTGCAACACAGTTTGTGATTGTTCGTTGAAACGATGGATTTGGGAAACACCAAATCAACAAACTATGTTTGTAGCGACACAACTTGTGACTTTAGTTGGTTAATGAGGGTTTTTGGAAACGCACCCTAGAGCACCTGGAGTAAATGCACACAAACACAGGGAGAACATACAAACTACACACAGAAATGCCCACTTGCCCAGCTGGGACTCAAACCAGCAACCTTCTAGCTGTAAGGTGACAGTGCTAACCACTGAGCCACCATGCCACTCTCTATATTATAATATATTTTATAATATTACATTATTATTTAATCTATCTTTCTGTCTGTCTGTCTGACAGCCAATCCATCCATCGAGTTAATGCAGATTATTAATGGATTAATTTAAAAGTAATAATTTTATTGGATATGTGAAAATAAAGCTATCAATCACACACATACACACATAGTAGTCTTTATTTAGTTCTATCTTTATAGGGCTTTTGGCAGATTTGGAACGCGTTTTTATTCATTGATCAGCCTGACCTATATTTTTGTTTCCATGTTTTGCATTGCCCCATCTCAACCCTTGATAAATCTGACAGAGCAAACCTGGAGATTCGGTTGACGATGAAGAGGAAAGCCCCTAAAGGTATGATGGAGAACAGGAACCAGGGAAACACGGCGCCCACCACTCCCAGACAGAACAGCACTAGTGTCACATTCTGGAGCAGCATTTCAGCCTGCATCGCCAGACGCACGTCAACTGCGCAAAGAGGAAGAACACAGAATCAAACAGACATCAAAACTGCTTTGAGACGCCCCCGTCATCCTGCATTTGAAAGGATTTGTGAACTGCGATAGAGAAAGAGAGAGAGAGGTTGCTCACCCTCATCCATGTCCTTGGAGAATCGGTTGAGGATGCGTCCCAGGGGTGTTGTGTCGAAAAAGCGCATGGGGCTCAGAAGTAGAGTTTTAAATAGTTTATCATGCAGAACCGAGGCTGCCCGTACTGTGCACTGCAACGACAACAACATACAAACAACAGTGTTAATAATGCATGCGCACAGACGCGACAAAAACACCAAGAAATGAGCCAGTGATTTAAAAACCTATAAAAAGGTCTATAATGCTAATAAACAGGACAGGGATGTAAACAAACATTTAAACAGTCATAACAGTGAGATTATAATGAGGTAAAAATCTTGGCAAGCAGACAGGAATGCTTTTGCCCAAGATCTGTAAGGGCCGGCTGAGACATTGGATACATTGGGACTGGAAGTGACCAATGCAGCTTGACACTTCAGCACAGATCAATCTGCTCTGGTTAAAACTTTGGACCGAGTAAAGTAGGTCAGCTTTCTACTTCGTTAATATATATATATATATATATATATATATATATATATATATATATATATATATATATACACTCACACAGTACACTGGTGGAAAAGCTGACTTTATGCAGTGTATGTCCTACTTTAGAATGGGAGAAAGCTTAAATGCTTATGTTAAACCTGTACATCATGGTCATGGTTAGCATTCTTCTGAGGGCCTCATCCATCAAGGGGCCAAAGTTTTAGTAATTTTTTATTATATATAAGGTTTTTTAAATTAAGGCCGCATTTACATAATATAGTTTTCACAATCACCAGCGATCTAGCTCATGCAAATTGCTGGAGAACTACAAATCTTCCACTAAATGAACAACAGATTTCATCATACTTGTACTCTCACACCTGTTCCGGTTCACCTTTGATTGCAAACACACACAGCTGAAGCTGTTCAGGACTAATCAAATGGGCTATAAAGACAGCACACGTATTCTTCTGGATTTGCCTGCTTCTAAAATTTATCATATATTATTAAAACTAATTCCTGTATTTACTATTTATGATCAAATAAATTTAGCCTTGCTGAGCATAACATAGTCATTTTAGTCAAAATCTTACTGACCTCAATGTATATTTATTTTTTTTATTTATTTATTATATTTTATTTAATATTTATTTACATTGTATATTATCACATGAGAAATATACAAATACATAAATGGAAGTAGGGGCTGTGCAATTAATCGAAAATTCATTTTCGAGTTTGACTTTGGCTTCTAACAATTATGAAAATCATTATTCGAGGTAAAACGATTATTGCATCATATACTGCCCCCTTTCCAGTTGTACACATTTTTTTGCTCTGCAAAACTCAGTTTCACGTGAAAATGACTAAAAGCATGTACTGTAATCATTCATTAATGTCCATCTGAATCATTCATTTATTCATTTTCTTTTAGGCTTAGTCCCTTTATTAATCTGGGGTTACCACAGCGGAATGAACCGCTAACTTATCCGGCATATGTTTTACGCAGCGGATGCCAGCTGCAACCCATCACTGGGAAACATCCATACACACTCAGTCACACACATACTATGGACAATTTAACTTAGCCAATTCACCTAGCACATGTCTTTGGACTGTGGGGGAAACCGAAGCACAGAGGAAACCCACACAAACACGGCAAGAACAGGCAAACTCCACACAGAAAGGCCAACTGACTTAGCCGAGGCTTGAACCAGTGACCTGCTTGCTGTGAAGCGATCATGCTACCCACTGCACCACCATGTTGCCACATTCAAACCATTCATGTTTTTAAAAGCACAGAAAAAATTGCATGCTGTATGCACTCAGCCTCAGGGACAAGCAAAGCACACATCTACAGTTTTTCTAATGTGAGCGCTTTAATGTTCAAATACATGCAAATATGTATAAAAACGCTGTTTAGTGATTATTCATATTAACCCTCCTTTATGTAATAAACAAATGAGACGAGAATTAAAAGACATGTAAAAGAGTAAGCATAAATTAGATCCGCACTGCTCTTAAAGTGACAGTACGCAATATTCCTGCTACAACAAAAGGACAAAATCACTCACTGCTCTTGACTGAAAGACTTTTGTATCTATAATTAAAGTGTTTTTCTTACAGTGAAGATGCTTAAATCAGTTTGTTTCATATTTTTATTCTATTGTATTTATTTCCCTTTATTTATTTACGGGGAGGAAAATAACTGTATTTATGCAGTTGAAGTGTTTAGCGCAAAGAAGATTTTTTTCAAACCTATTTCTAAACATACTATATTTAATAACTCATTTCTAATAACTGATTTCTTTTATCTTTGCTATGATGACAATACATAATATTTGATTGGATATTATTCAAGATACAAGTATTCAGCTTAAAATGCTATTTAAATTCTTAATTAGGGTAATTAGGCAAGTCATTGTATAACAGTAGCTTCTTCTGCAGACAATCAAAAATACTGCAATATTAATAATATTGACCTTAAAATAGGTTTTTAAAATCCTTAAATCTGCTTTTATTTTAGCTGAAGTAAAAACAAATAAGACTTTCTCCAGAAGAAAAAATATTAGAGAAAATACTACGAAAAATTCCTGAATCTGTTAAACATCATTTAGGAAACATTTATAAAAAAGAAAAAAATTCACAAGGGGGGAAATAATTTTGACTTCAACCGTATATTGTATTGTATAATCGTGATTACAATTATGAACAAAATCATCATGATTATGATTTTTCCCACAATTGAGCAGCCCTAATGGAAGTCATTGCTGAACAAAACAGTTCTGTCATTTCGAGTCTTAAATGGGAAATAATGTGCTCAAAATTACTGTACAGCGCATCAGAAACAGAAAACAAGCATCGTCAGCTGTAACGCTGTTGACGCAAAGGCCACATCTCATCTCAGACAGCTTTGTTAATTACAATGAAAGCAATCTATTTTGGCCTAGTGTACAGATTGTATCCAGCATGGACATTATGTCTCCCCCAGCACTTATGAGGCATGAATGTCAGGACGTAGCACAGCAGCACATACAAATAAATGATTACATAAGTCCACATATTCTCAAATACATGTCAACCCACCGAGAACATGCCAGACATGACTTCACAACAAAACTCCTCATGTCGTGCCCAGGAGAATGTGTTGCTATTAGGATTTGATGGTTTCTGGCACACAGGGACACATTCATTCCATTAATAGAATATGTAAAGTTCCCAAATTTGCAATCTTACCTCTGGGTAAAAAGAGATTAGCCATCATGGAGGAATTAGCGAATACAAGTGGCACACAATTACACAGACACATAACCTCTCTAATGTGCTGTCGGGTCTCCTTAATGGAGAAGGGGGCAAAGGGTCCTGAGGGGACACACATACACAACCCCTCCAGCTGAAAGTCAAGACACTGGACAGATAAATGGATTTAGCCTGGAGGCAATTTCAATTAAAGAGTGGGAAAAAACTGGATGAGAAAGAGAGAAAAAAGCAGACACTTGGCAATGTCATGGACTGTGGAACAAGGATTTGGTGTGGAAATCATTGTATTGTACTATGAATCCGGCTTCTCAGCAACAAATCAAATTAAAAGACTATACCTCTGTAAGGAAAATTCATTAGTTGCAATGCCCCCTAGACAGATTGAAGGTTCACTAAGCAGTATCTTTTGACCACAGTGTCTGAAACATACATACTTTAAGCCAATTAGACATGTCTAGTATCTACTGCGGAGATATTAAGATCTTGTTGAGCACACTTGTTTTGGTGCGTTCAAATATCATCGTTTGGCAAAATTAGCTTGGTGCACCTTCATCCTGGTATACTCAGGCAGTGATGATATTGGATGTGATCAGCATGAGAATAGCAATCAGATGAAAAAGTAAGTGTAATTTTATCTAGGGATGTCCCGATCAGGTTTTGATCTCGATTATCCCGATCTGATACTTCTATAATACATTTAAAAAAGAATAAAAAAGATCAAAGAAACAGATCCAGAATGTTTCTTTATTTTTTCTTTAATTCACCTTATGAATTAGTTTGAACAATGAAGTAATAAATAACATAAATTTTTCACCTTTTGCAATCCCAAGTTTACATATCTCACAGTTTGCTATGGCAATGTTGTCATCATCAACTTTATAATATCTCCAGACCGCAGACATACTCGGGTTGTTGCTAGATCAGATATGGATTGTGGCAGGAAGTTAACAAGAATTATTTATCTTATTTATAAAATTTTCCATTTATGGTATTTTATTAACATCTATCCCAACCCTCACAGTAATGTAAAAACAGTAGTTGTACCAAGTCTTATTTTATATATTAAATTACCAAATAAATTAAATTTTTTAAGGTCTACCCCCACCCCAACCCTGAACCCATTTGTCACAGTACTGTAAAACTATAAATTATTGTTATTGTCACAAAAATGATGCTATATTGTATCCGCAGCTGTATCCTATGTAGACTTTACAACTATACTCGTGCTTTCCGCTTCTGCGTTCTATTATTATTTAACCAGTAGCATCTCTGCAACAAAGTAATGTCGTGCCGCTTTGCTGTTTCTGTTGGAAATCAAAATAGAGGTCTAACTCCGTGCCACTGCATAACTATAGATGTGTTAAATATACTGTATATCTATATCTATCTAAATTATATATATAATAGATACATACATACATACATACATACATACATACATACATAATCGGAAGTAACGTCCGATTCCGATCGAGTCTGAAACCGCATGATTGGGCCCAATTTTAGATCACACGGTTGGATCTGGACATCCTTAATTTAATCAGAACATTTAATCGTTTAAAATGATATAAGCAATAAGAAAATGAATTTTTAACCATTACTGGTGCTACAGAGTTGGTCCTAGAGACCTCAAAGTTAGTCAGGGCTCTATTGACAATGGGGCCAGGGGATGTGTTAACATATTTCCTGAACTAATGTAGAATTTCTTTTGATATGTACTTATTTATTTTTACTAATTTATACAATATTTATATATAAGTTGGCAGTTCTTTCCGCTTTGGTGACTCCTGATAAATAAGGAAAGCTGAAGAAAATTTAATAAATGAATGAATGAAAGAATGAATTAATTAATTAATAAATGAATTAATTAATAAATGAATGAATTAACTAATTAATGAAGGAATTATATAATTTGCTTATGGAGGACGAAAAAAGATAGAATTTTTTTGCAGATGACTCAAAAGTCAAATGTCACCCATGCCTATAAGTGTGCCAATACTTATAATTTTTCTATGTTTGCTTCTATGGTGTGCTATTGACTGCCATTAGGGAAGAAGATGAAGAAGAGGAGGAAGATTAGAAGAAAACATATAGGTGTGATGGAATGCAGAGCAAGGGATTGGTGTGGAAATGTAACTGAAACTACATAAAGTAAACTGTGAAAGTTGCCATGTCGATATCAGTTTCCTGGACTATACTGCTGTAGGGATAAAGACATTAATTGCATTGCCCCCATGACAGATTAACCTGGTACACTCTGGTATATTCAGGCAATGATAAACATTATACGAGCAAAGAGAAAATTAAAATCAACTAAGTTCCATTTTTCTAGATCAAAGAGAAAAGTGAATTTCTGAACTAGTGCAGGTGTTATAGAGTTAGTTCTAGAGACCTCAAAGTTTCACAGAGGACCATCCCAAGAGTGTCAAATGTCATCATTTTCCTCTGTTTGCTTCTATGGCTTGCCATTGACTGCCGTTTGGGAAAAGAAGAATTGAAACTGAAAGTTTGGAAAGTACACTGTGAAAGTGGCCTGTCAATAACACATTGGTTTCTCAGACTATTGCGCTGTGGGGAAAAAGTCATTAATTGAGATCCCTGCTTGACAAATGAACCTGGTACACTCAGGTAGATTCAGGCAGTGATGAATGGTATATGAGTGAAGAGAAAATTGGATGTGATCAGCATGAGAAAAGCAATCAGTTGAACTAAGATTTTTTTTTTTTCGTCAAAGAACTACAAATGTTTTAATGTTTGATAAATGATGGTTTGACCTAGTGGTGGCGCTATAGAGCTTACTCTAAAATATTTCAATAGAGATGAGGACATCCCTATTAGTGTGCCAAATTTAATCATATTTCTGTTTGCATGGGTTGCCATTGACTCCCATTCAGGAAGAAGAATAAGAAAACATACAGATGAGTCAGACTGCAGAGCAAGAATTCAGCATTAAATTAAACTGAAACTACAGAAAGTGTACTGTGCCATGAACATGGCCTGTCATCAGGGGTGGACTTAGTGATTTGGGGGCCCTACGCAATTCCAGGTATGGGGCCCTTGCCTTTTTAAAATATAAACATGTTAAAATGTGTATATATTTTAATATTTAAAGGTAGTTTATCTTTCAAATGTAAAAAAGCAATTAATTCACACATAAAAAAAAAACAGGTTCAAAAACTATGTGCAGTGGACGTCTCCAAACTCAGTTCTTGAGAGCCGGTGTATGGCAGAATTTAGCTCCAACTTGTCTCAACACACCTGCACAGATGTTTCTAGAAAGCCTAGTAAGAGCTTGATTAGCTATCCCAGGTCTTTCTGATTGGGGTTGGGGTTGTTGGATATGGGCCCTCCAGGGCCGAGATTGGACACCCTGTGTACAGTCAATTAGCCGTTTTTGTGATTCGATTTTAATAGTAATAATAATTTAAAAACATTTAAACAAATTTAATTCACAACCCATCAAACTAATCTTTTCCCTTTTTTCATAAGAATTCAGTAATTACTCTTTGTGAATGGGCGGCTGTTTCACTGGGAACAACTCTTAACAAGCTCACAGCACTCATCATCTGACAGCTGTTTCAACCAGACAGCAGGATCACGGAGGAAGGTGCATTTCGTTGTTTGCTGTATTTCTACTTTTCTCCCAAATCTCTGCGATTGTGAACAACAGCAAGAATAGAATAAACTGTCCATTTAAATTACTACATTTAAAACAGAGGAAAAGCAGATGGGTTTGACTGTTCCAGGGAAATACCTTACGCTTGTGGTGCTAAAACACTTGCCGTTGGTATGCAGAAGAATGATCTGCTCTCAATGTTGCAGGTGAGAGAGAAGCAGTATTGGCCAAGCTACTTGAAAAATGTAGTGAGCTATTAGCTACTTTTAACTTTAAGCTAAAAGCTATTTGATTTAGAAAGAAGCCACGCTACTGCCAAGCTACTGAGAAATGTAGTTAAGCTAGTAGCGTCACTTCTTGTAGCTACACTACTGCCCAACACTGGAGAGATGGCTGTGTGGCACTGTGTCGCCTTTGAGTGCTCTGAGGGAGGAAGAGACTAACGCCATCACCAGCAGCTTGTTGAGTAACATGAGTAGCATTAGGAACGGTACAACACGGAGTCACACGAGAGTCTCTAAAAATCTCCAGTAACAACTAAAAACATTCACTAGTCACTATTTTAAACATTTGGCGCTAGGAGGGTCTGAAAAGTTGCTAAGTTTGGAACACTGGCTGGCAATGTCTTTGATTGAAGCGCACACACCTCACACATGTGCAATAAAGAAGAAAACTTCCATTATTCATGGAGGCCCCAGTTTTGAAAAGATGCAATAACGTTACAACCTTAACGGTTATAGACAGATTTTACAACATATGATAGAAAATATATAAAAGAGCTATATGATTAATATGGGCTTCCTGACATTGCTTAGGGGCCCTAAGCAGCTGCTTACCTCAATTATTGTCCTGTCATTAACATATCAGTTTCCCAGACTACATCACTGAGGGGATAAGGGCATTAATTGTGATGCCCCCCTGACAGATTAACCTGGTCCACTCCAGTAGATCCAGACAGAGAGGAATAGCACATTAGCAAAGAGGAAATGCATCTGCTTAAAGACCCTAGTGTTATTCAGCTGTGTCTAACTGAGACAGGACAACTGAACAGAGCAATCTCATGTGGGAACTTCATAAGCAATAAACTTCAAATTACCTTGACGAACACCAGTCCTCGGATGGTCTTCAGGAAGAGCGCCGCCCCCATGGATAAGACGTACACCCTGGAGTAGTACTGTATGTGCGGATTCAGTCGCATGCTATCGCTCTCGGCGGTCTCGTTCCCCAGTAGCAGTGAAGAATTCTGCAGGGACAAAAGAACAACACCTTAGAAACCTGATTCTTCCCTGGAGAGTCCCAACATACCAGCAGAACTGCGTGCATGAATCCCAGGCTCAATTATTTTACAGAACGCAAGTTAACTGCAACATCTGTTGCCGTGATTGTCCCTCTGTGTAAATCGTGTGGAGTCTGGCACTTCTAATTAGTTTCGGGATTGATGTTCATTTCGGCTAAGCATCAAAACCCGGCAATTCAAGCTGGTGGTTTGTTGCCTTAAAGCAATAATTCACCCCAAAATGAAAATAGCAATCATCGTTTCCCCATCATGTTGTTTGCAAACCTGTGAAGACTCGGTGTGATCAGTGAAACTCAAAATAAATTATATGCTTGATTCATTATATTAACAATAGATTTGTACCCTAATGGCAAGAGTGTATAAGCTACAGGGTGGCATTTGACCAATCGCATTAATGGCTGATTAAATAAAAAATAAAAAATCCTGCATGGCAAAAAAAAAAGGTAATAAGGTCCTGGCAGATATGCACTAATCTTCCATTTATGTGTGCTTTGATTTTGTGATAAATGGCAAATGTAAGAGCTGTTAATTCAAGTGATCAATCTAACCCACCCACACTGCAGCTGAAAAATGGTCTCTGACTGGATTTTACTCATTGCCTTGACCCACTATAGCCAAAAAATAAACCTGAGATCCAGTTACTATTGGTTGAACTTCCCATGTTTTCAAATGATATTGGGAAAACTGTGCATCATCATAAACATCATAATCATGACAATTATATCAGATGGTTTACTGCATTGGCATAGCAGCATCTAATGCCACTCTATGAGGATAAGCTCTAGATATACTGAAAGTTGTGATATGTTTGGGCTTTTAAGAAACGAGAAAACATGTCCAATTAATAATTTGAAAATCTACTGTATTATAAAAATCATTATAATAAGTAGTGCTTCATTAAAGTTTTAATAGATTGTCTGTTTGATATGTTAACACTCCATATAGATCAGAGATGCTCAAACTAGTGCCCGTGGGTGAAAGTTGGACCATGGCAACCTCCCCCCCATTTTTATCTGATAATTGTTCAGAGATTGTCATTTCAAATGTAACCTTATGTTTGTTTGTTTTATTGTTAAGTTACAAAAAGCTATCTGAAATTAAATGTTTTAATGTAAATGGTGTAAATGAATCAGATTTAGTTTAAAATGTACATACGATAGATAGAGGACAATGCAGAATGAAGGTAAAGTCAGATTCTGCTTGACTAGTGTATTTAGCATTGAACTCCATTGTGTTATAAATGTGATTGCTTATGTTTTTATTGCAATAAGTTCTAATTGAAAACGTTATACTGCATTAGTTAATGCAATTCAAAGTAATGTTTTTTTCATCTCTAATAAATTAGGAAATTACTCATGGCAATTTTTATGTAAAATAGTTTGGTATATTTATCTTTGCCCCACGGCTATCAGTGATATTTGGTTTTTGGCCCTTCATACGAAAAAGTTTGAGCACCTCTAATTTAGATGGAGCTGATTTAGATATTCTGCTAATTCGCTCAAAGAAAACAATAAAAGAAAGTATAACCATGTCTAGGCGAGGCAGTGGTGCAGTAGGTAGTGCTGTCCCATCACAGCAAAAAGGTCACTGGCCAAGCCTCGGTTGGGTCAGTTGGCGCTTCTGTGTGGAGTTTGCATGTTCTCCCTTGCGTTTGCGTGGGTTTCCTCTGGGTGCCTTGGTTTCCCCCACAAATTCAAAGACATGCGGTACAGGTGAATTGGGTAGGCTAAAATGTCCGTTGTGAAAGAGTGTGTGTGTGTATGTTTCCCAGAGATGGGTTGCGGCTGGAAAGGGGTCCACTGCATAAAAAAACGTGCTGGATAAGTTGGCAGTTCATTCCACTGTAGCGACCTTGGATTAATAAAGGGACTAAGCCGAAAAGAAAATGAATAAATAACCATGTCTGCTAATATTTTTTTCAAATCATGATTTCTAAGGACAAAAAACATCTAAACCATATAATAAATAAAGTCGTTCAGCTCAGTTTTTACTAATAGATATGCTTTGCAAACAGCCATACTCTGTATCCGATTCTTTACAAATACCACTTGAACTCAAAACAATCATCAAATAGCTTAGGAGTGTTCCTAGTTAGTTGTGTTTACATTAATCTCGTGAAATGAAAATATATGACTACATGACTAATATATGACTCGACAGCCAAATGCACAAGTGCTCTTCCTTTCAAACATTTGAGTGTGTGGTTAACTACTGTTTATCTACTGTTAACAACTGAGCTTAGAATCGATTAAAAAAAGAACAGAAAAGCAAAAATCTGAAAGTAAATGCAGAATTGATTTCTTAAAAGAATTTTCACCACAATCCAGCACTAATACTAAAGCTTAAGAAAGAACAATAAAAAGCAATAACAAAAATCAGCCAAATACTCATTCATTCATTCATTCATTTTCTTGTTGCCTTAGTCCCTTTATTAATCCAGGGTCGCCACAGCATAATGAACCGCCAATTTGTCCAGCAAGTTTTTACACAGCGGATGCCTTTCCAGCCACAACCCATCTCTGAGAAACATCCACACACACTCATTCACACTACGGACAATTTAGCCTACCCAATTCACCTGTACCGCATGTCTTTGGACTTTGGGGGAAACCGGAGCACCCGGAGGAAACCCACGTGAAAGCAGGGAGAACATGCAAACTCCACACAGAAATGCCAACTGAGCCGAGCCTCGAACCAGCGACCTTCTTGCTGTGAGGCGAACGTGCTACCCACTCCGCCACTGCATCGCCCAGCCAAATACTCAGAAATAATATATATATATACATACACATTTATGAGAAGTAACAAGCAAACTAGTTCTTTTAAGTCAGATCATGTTATTCAATTGGATGATCTGATTGATTCAGTAAATAATTTGTTTATACTGATCATAATTTCTCATTTTGTTGGGTGCAGGCGACTACATAATGGCAGTTTTGTTGTTGTTGGCAGAGCTGTCCCTTTAAATGGCAGAAACTCAAAGCGGCCAGCAGTGAGATAGACTGGCTTACCCCGCTGCCCTGCCGGATCCAGTAACTAAGCCACCAGTTGCTGAAGGCGATACTGCCAGTGGTGAAGAGGAAGAGGAGGATGGTTACAATGAAGGCCAGAGGGCCTCCAGCAGCCTTGATGTAAGCTGCATACACAGGCCAGGCCACGGCCCCGCTTCCCTTTTCCTCCGCCTGCATGAGCTGATCTGCGAGGTGAACATCAAACAACAGAAATATGGAGGAAAAAACAACAAAGAAGTGTGACTCATCCACTGATGTTAGATCAGCTAAGCACAGACTTTTATTTTGAGATTAAACCAGTGCTTCTCAACTCTGGGGCCATGGTCCAGGTCACACATTGGCTAGCCTATCAACAAACTACAAAAGCTCCAAGAAATTAGGCAATTATTTTTCTGGCTGGTTTTCCAAGAGTGGTCATATTTGGTGTAGCAGTCCGGTGTTGTTTGTTTCACTAGGCTTGTCTGTGTTTGCAGAAGTTGTGAGTGTGTTTTTTTTACCGCTAGGGTTGGGTACAGAAATCCAGTGGCAACATTGTACTGGTGTGCAACAGAAAAAATGATAATGCAGATTTTGATTCGTAATTTCAGTATTACTTTAAACTCCTAAGCTGTTAATTGAAATCAGGCAGGAGCACTGGAAGTGTGCTGCTTTATATGAAGATAACAATAGGCTACATTTTAAATACATTTACCCTGTAATGTAACTGTAATTATTATTGTTAAACCTGCTTAATGTACACATGCAGCTCTAATTGTCTAAAGCAGTGGTTCCCAACTGCGGTCAGGCTCTGCACATTTTGTATAGCTGCATCTAAAATCACATACTTCCATACTAGATAGTACGTTATAAACTGTATGCGAGTCGAGTAGTATGTCCAAATTCATTGAATTCGAAAAACAGTATACAAGAAGTGCCCGGATAACCTAGTACTTACAGCAAGATTATGAAATGCGCATTCGATGGATGCTATTCTATGCCATGATGCCATTCGAGAGATTTCATAAAAAGAAGTGAAGTGATGCAACTGATGCATGTAGGTCACATGTTTATGACAAATGGCGGGTGTAGTATATCCGAGTTCCATTCATACTGCTCACATTCAAACTGTATAAAATGTATTTTTCTAATGGTTGTCTAGAAAACTCAAATTCAAGGTCATTAACAGAGAGATCCATGAACTGATTCTTCTGTTTAAAAATAAAAGAGACATACAAAATGTGCGGGGTGTCCCGGGGAGTGGAATTAGGAACCATCAGGTCTAAAGCACTGATATACTTCAAATAAAGTTTTTATTATTTTTTAGATGAGACATTAAACCGAGGTCCAGACTCTCTCTGGTAATTAAAAATCCCATGGCACTTCTTGTAAAGAGTAGGGGTGTAACCACGGTCAAATTCCCTCTATCGACCATAACCCATCACAGCCTCCTAATCATTCCCATCCATCGAATTGGCTCTATCACTGTCCCTCCATACCACCAATAGCTGATGAGTGGTGAGCGCACGCATCGTTATCCTGTGGCTGCCTTTGCATCATTGAAGTGGATGCTGCACACTGGTGGTGGTGTGGAGAGACCCCCCTCATTATTAGCATCATAAAGCACTTGTATGGCCACACACAATAAATGCGCTATATAAATTTACATTACATTACCCCTCAACATGACAACAACGGAGGCTATGATAGAAGAAGAGTTTTGTAACATCTGGCAAACAGCCTTTTGCACACCAGATAAGTAGTGTCATGGCAGCGCACCACATCTTTATATTTGCCATGGACAGACACCGAATGGCATAGCTAGAGTGTGTACACTCAAAGAAAACAATATTTGGAACTTGTGGATGTGGTGAGACTTTGTGGCACTTCTCGTCTGGTGCATGTCCCTCTCCAAGTATATAAAAATCTCTCTATGAGTAATCATACATGTGCAGATACTGTATATCTGTGCTAGTTCGGCTATTCAGCCCTGCAGAGTATTCCTGTTGCTAACTGTTGTTGTTCTTTTGGATGTTGTTCCCCTGCCTGACCTCCTCAGACTTGAGAAATGAATCAATCACACATCAAAGAAGGCGGAGTTTCAGAATGCACCCACCAACTGTATAACTGCTTTGGACCAATGGTAGCTCAAAAGCTGTTTAGGAGCCAAAATGAACTCCCCCAAAATGTTTGCTTTCATAAGCTTATCGAGCTGTGCGTTTGCTTGGATTTTGTTCAGGATGTCATCATTTCAGTTCTTTCTTTGATTTCGTTTGAAGTATATCAGTGCCTTCAACATGCATACAATGTATTAGCAGCTCACACATGTTCTTTTCATTATTTTTGCACTGCCTAGTCTGTCTACAAGGTGCTGAACACAGACTTTGCTATTATTAGTACTGTAAATAGTTGATTTTACTTTAAAATATAGTTTAATTTAAGGTTTTGTTTTATTTTTATGTCATCCAACATCATTTTAAGCCTTTTTTTAAAAGTCCAGGGACTGTTTAGACATTAATATTTTTTAAAGTATTGATTTGGCACTGATATAGTAAAAACAATATTTTGTACATCGACGCCATGTTTATTTCAATGCTTTTATAACTGGATTGAGCCCACATTTGAAATTCAATGTATACACAATGCAAACTCATTGGAGAAGCACTAAAATAAACAACCTTCACCTGTTTTCTTGCTCTCAGTATCAGGCTTGGGTGGATTGCTGACATGAAGCGTCTGTGGGCTGCTCTCCTTCTCTGCCTTCTCTTTGTTTTTCAGGTTCTTCCTCACCAGGTTCTGGATGAGGGATGAAGAGAAAAGAGTGAGAGCAAGACCTAGTAAAGAGCAAATCTGCAACTTATTAGCAGCACACATCAGGCGGAACAATGCCTGTTGGGTCATTAATACAGAGATCAGCGACAATGTCCCTCGGCTAGTAGCACCAAAGATCAATTCACTTATAAATTACAAAAGCACGACTTGAATTAACATTTCAAACCCAGCAGCTCTGCAGTCTGTGCTTCATGAATTTTGCAGTGGGTGATGTTGGGTGTTTTGTGAGCGTGTGACCCCAGTGTTTTCCCATAGGGCACTGCTGTTGCAGGCGGCGTATCGCACCTCTTGCTGCACGCTGTTGAAAAGGGCAGCGTAGTCTCGGCCTTTCTCCATCAGCTGAGTGTGTGTGCCGTGCTCTGCTATCTGGCCGTCCTTCATTAACACCACATCATCACACTCGGGCAAGTACTGTGGAATAAACACACCCCGAAGAAAGGACAGAAAGTGTCATAAAACAGCTTTAGGACAGCTTATGTTACATTAACCTAACCCTAAGCATAATAATAATATATAGCAGACGTTGTTTGCTTCATAGAATAAAGTGCCATTTTAATAGGGACAAATGGCATATTGGTAGGCTACCACAAGGTATCAGAGGGTTTTAGTGGGCATTATCTGTCAGTTCAGTATATGTTAGATTGTAAACAGTACTGTAAATTTCCTGTTTTTACATTCTATTTGCCTTTGATGTCATTCAACACTCACTTATAATATAACCACTTTTTTATTAATACATTTAATACAACAAGAATATAATTTTAAAAGCTTCCCAAAATAAAAAAAATAGTACAAATAATAAATTACAAAAAAAGAAAAATTTTTAGGATTCTGCCACTTTGTTCTTAGGTTGCTGCATGTGTTGTAAAGGACAGATCTATCGATCCTCGGAATCATGATCATCAAAGCAACGATTGGCTGATGGCACAACACTGTGATGACATCATCGGATTAATATTTAATTATCCATGTGAGCAAAATGACATAAAATAGGTAGTAAACGGTTTCTTAAAAACTTAAGTTAAGCAATAACTTTCCATCGTTGCTGTGAGTTACAGGCTTTTCACTTTCATGTGTCAAGAGTATGTAGTCTTATATTTAAATTTAGAACGGATTTTCTTTAGTAGCCTATATATTCAAGTTTCTTAATCGGCGTAAGGAATAAATGGCTGTTTAAATTAATTTTGCACCAAAAAAGCAATTTTGATAAAGATGTAAAGATGTCTGCAACTTTTGCGAAGCATCAAATCACCATCATATTAGCTGTCAAAACATGTCCATGACTGCATTTATTATTATTCCTTTAAAAACAGTGGAATATTGTGCATATCTATTATCATACACAAATTGTACTAAAGCTGGTACCTTTAAAATAGTATGCGTTTGTGTCTAAAAGGTCCATATTAATAAATGTTCTCTTTGAACCCATTAAGAAGAACCACTGGAGGGCAAATTGCATACATTTAATTTATAGATTTTTTAAACTTATATATCAGCATTCTGTACATACTTTCAATATTACCTTTGCTTTAAAAGACTATATCTAATCCTGTTTATATGAAATAAGCTGCTGCTCCCGAGCAGGTTTGAGCTACCATACATGACCCCAGGTGTTGTTTAAAGCAGGTGGCTCACGTGCTTTAGTGTTGTGTGATTTGTCATGTGAACACACGGTTAATGGTTGTACTCTCCTGTCTATTGTCTAGTCCCACCCGCCTTGTTAACCTGTTATTAGTTAATCCTGTTCATTTCTCTGTTAATTCATTATTTTTCATTTATAGCTCCCTCTTAATTATTTTTAATAATTAACTAATAATAAAATAAACAATAAACTACACTTAGCATAAATTAAACAACAAACAGAACAGCTAAAACCTGAACTAAAATGATAACTTAAATGTAGTAAATAAAAGCCAATTTAAAATAAGAATAAATACTATAATAGTGCATAAATTAGTGGTTCTGAAATGTGTGTTTTATGACTCAAATCCTCCACAGTGTTAACGACAATAATCAAAAGCCAGATTTAGAAAAGGGGTGTCCTAATGTTAGTTTTATTTAGATTTTCAACAAGATTTAATATTATTTATCTTGGCATAAAGAGAAATAATACTTCTTGCAATCCTTTTTCCCCATTTATCCTGTTTTTCTTAGTGGTAAATAATAAAAAAATAGATATCTTGTTTATATATATATTATTATACATTGTATAATATATTGCATTATATTAAATATTAAATTATATATTGTATTTTCTTAGTTCATTTAAAACTTGTTTTCTTTTTAAAAAACACTTGTCACCTTGAAACTTTGCACTAGTTGAGAACCACTAGTACAAATGATCCTAAAATAGCACTGCAAAAAGGCATCTAAGGCCATGCTATAATAATGATGCAGTCATGGCTGAAAGGACGCCGAAACAAAAGCCTTTGCAATATCACAAATTCTATTATATCAACCATATTCAATTCCCAAACTTTATCCTGTGTAACTTTGTAGACAAGCACAAAGTCACCAGTCCCAGTGTGTGAGGTGTTTACAGTATGTTCCCCTTCTCACATACATTCATAAGCCCCTTACCTGCAGTTGGTGCGTGACAAAGATGACAGTCTTGCCCTTGGCAGCGGGACGGATGGCGCTGTGGAATAACCGTGAGCCCACGCGAGCGTCTACAGCGCTAAGGGGGTCATCGAGCAGAAGGATGGGTCTCTCGCTGTACAGCGCGCGTGCCAAACTCACTCTCTGCCGCTGGCCGCCGCTCAGGTTGGCCCCTCGCTCTCCTATCTACAGCAGATAATTCAGTTACAGCCACAGTAATGATTGCGCTCTATTTTTCAAGGCTATTTGCAATGGAAACAGCAGTACAGATATCACACAAGTGAGATTTCATAGACCTTGTGCTTTTATTTGTGTTTGTGCGAGGTCTGAGCTTGTGTTATGAGTGTTATAATGTAGATACCTCAGTCATATCGCCATATGGTAGCTCAATAATATCAGGAAATAAACAGCATGCCTCCAGTACAGCGTTGTACCTGGTGAGAGATGAAAACTTGTTTGAATTTTTTTCTTGAAGAAAGGCCAAAGTGAGTTTTCTTAATGTGCATGTGGTAATGTTTCCTACTTTTCCTCATTGTATTTTTTTCCAAACAGGATGTTCTCCCTGAGGGAATCGTTGAGGATCCAGGCCTGTTGAGCAACATATGCGAAGCCTCCGTTTACGGATACTGAGCCACCAAGAAGGGTCATCTAGACAGAAGGAGAAGAATCAAACCTATACATCTGCTTTCAACATGCTGAGAAGACCAGCTGCTTTATGTCCAGACTGGTTTATGATGGTTAAAGGGGGTAGTTATATAAATAAATAAATTCAGTATTTACTCAAATTTGTGCCAAACCCGTATGTTGTTGTTTTTTTTTCTCAGCGGGTCTCGTAAGCTGAAACACTCCCCTTTTGTGTTTAAACAACAGCTGGGAAACACCAATAGGAACAAAAAATTGTACTGTATGAACTAGTTTTTCAAAGTGATCATTATGGTGGCTTGAGAAAGCCAAAACACTCTTAGACTACATAAACTTATCATTCTTTCGTCTTCTGAGACTAATTTCTAAATGCATCTCCTCCTAAACCACTCAAGCTACAAACACCAAACAAACTCCAAACCTCTAAACTGGTCTGACTTAGGTTGCTATATTTTTTCCAACTGATCCGACTTGCGGTTTTCGGAAAGCTGACCTGGAAAATTTGGAAAAGTCCCATTGACTTAACATTGTACCAAACTTTGTGAGCTCATAACTTTGTGCCAGACTGTCCTACAGACTTAAGTTTGTGCTCATTTAACTCTAAAGGGGGTCACACACCAGAAGCGCCACTCAGCGATGCGTTGTGATATGCAGCACCATGCATTTCAGAATTCTAAAAATAGGTTTCTATCAGGGTATACACACTGGAACTGCAAGTTGGCGGCTATCCGTGGCACCCAGCCATGACTCAGGAGTCAAGACACTGTTCATATTTCTGCCGCGCCACAGAGCGCCATCTGATTACTTTAATTTTAAATAGCATGCAAATGTGCGCGTCTGGTGTGCGATACTTTCAACTGTTATGTGCGCGCCGTGTCGCGGCGCATCCGATGTGTGACGCCTTTGAGACTACCAATCTGCCAATCACTAATGACCTTTAAACTTACTAGACACACCCTAGCAACCACTTACGGCACCCTGGCAACTGTCCCATAGACTTCTATTATAAAAAACTGCCATTAACTTTACATTTGACATAATGATTACATACCAATTCATACAAACAATATACCAATCTATACTAGAAAGATACCAATTCATACTAGCAACATGCAAAATCATACTAGAACCATGCTAACAACATGTTAATTTATGCAAGAAACATGCTAGCAACATGCTAATAAATTCTAGAACCATGCTAATTTATGTTAGCAAGTAGCAAATGCATATCAACCACTCAGAACACCTTAGCAATGGCCTAGCAATGCCTTAGCAACCACCTAGAACATCCTAGCAACCGTCTAGCAACGCCCCATTGTCCACTCAGAACACCCTAGCAATGCCTTAGCAACCGCCTAGCAACCACCTCATCTAACAACACCTTAGCAATCACCTAGCAACACCTAGAAGCCACTGGGAACACCCTAGCAATCACCTAGCAACACCTTAGCAACCACCTAGAACACCTAGGCAACGCCTTGGCAACCACCTAATAACAGCCTAGAGCACCTTACCAACCACCTAGCAACACATTAGCAGCCATTCAAAACACCTTATAAACAGCCTAGCAACATCTTAGCAGTCACCACTTAGCAACCACCTAGAACACCCTAGCAAACGCCTAGCAATGCCTTAGCAACCACCAAAAACACCATTGCAACCGCCTAGCACACCCTAGCAACCACTAAGCAAAGCCTTAATCACCACTGAAAACTCCCTAGCAACGCCTTAGCAAGAAACATGTCAATCCATACTAGAAACATATACTGTATGTAGTTATCTCTCTTTATCTATGCCAACTGTTTAAACTTTGAAACTACTTCAACCTTTTAGATGAGGCTTTCTCAAGCCACCGTAAAGGTTGTCTACGAACTTTACTTTTCTAGTTTTAATTAAAAGTCACTGACATTTCAATTGTCCTCGTCATGCATTTTCAGCAATATTACAGATGTTTGTGAGAGTAAAAGGTTTGCAAAGTTTCAGTATGACCTTGATAAATGGAGTCTCTCAAAAGTAAGAACTGCCTTAGGTCTGTAACAGATTTGCAAATGGTCTTCACTAGTAACCAATGAACAACAGCTACATTGAACAGCGTGTACTTTTGCAGAAGATGCTAAAAGAAGATACACTTTGCATGAACTTCTAAAGTAAAGACTCAAACTTATCCAGTAAAACCAACATTATCATTATTGTATCACTTTATTGACAATTCCTGTGACATTTCACAACAGACTGTGCCGCCTGACTAAACTGAACAGAGTAGGCTCTTGGAGAGGAGTTATCTAAAAAGACCAGATCCTTCAACAAACCCATTAGTTTATATAAAAATAGATATATTTTGAGTTTTTGAACTTGTATCCATGTGAAGCCTGGTTTATACTCGACATGTTCGACCAATCATTCTTTTATACTTTTATTTAATTTTTATTTATATTGCTGTTTTTTTAATCACTCAATCAACTTTTCGACATTTTAAATGAATGCAATCTTTACATCTTAAGTGATTAGTTTTCTTAAAATGAATTTACAACTTAAAGTAATAAATATATATATTTTTGGACATTTGACTGCTGGACTGCTCCATAATGGATATTATATTTGGGAATATTATTATTATTACATAACATTACATTGTCCTAATAGTATCATATTTGATTGTATACTAAATAATATTTAATTACGTTAAAATAGAATTTGCTTAACTCTCACCAAATTATGGTAGAGAACAATGTTATATATAGGTTATAGGTACAATATATATTTCTAGATATTTCCTGGGGCCCTAAACGGCCGCTTACCTCGCTTATTGTTCATATCCGCCCATGATCCTAGAGATAACTAGATGACTAATAATTCTTGGCAAGGAATTGAAACAGCAGTAGGGAAGAAGGAAAGTTTTTGTAAAAGAGTTTAGAAAGAATTGAGGGGGAAGTTTGTTAAAACCAAAAAGGCCAAAGTGGAATGTCATTTATATATAGTACAATTTTGAGTTCCAAAAATAAAATTAACTAATTATTTATTTGATAAGAAGATAAAATCAATTATTTGATTTTCTAATATTTGAACATATCGGTTTACAGCATACTGATGCCCTGTTTTTTAATCTTTATTTTTTAATAATAGTTAGAAATGTTGAACCATTATTGCCTTTTTAGCATACAAGAGGAGGACAGAAACTAGTCAGACAGTAATGTGTGAATTGTAGAGTGTGCTAAATCTATTAAAAAAACATCAGTATTATTTAGTAAATGTACTTTTTTTGCTTTTATACTTTCCATGATAAAAAAGATATTTGTAGATCAACCCATGTTCTGTTGTCAGTAATATTTTAATAAACTGTAATGGGTAGAAATGTCTGAGATAAGAACAAAAGCAAATAATGCAACAAAGTTTGATTTTTAAAAATGGTTATTAAAATCTTTATAATCATTAAAACAATTTGTAAAAATAATAAAAATAATTTAACAATATTAAAGATATGATGTAGTTCCGGAAACTTCCTACTTCTCTAATTTTACGGCCTGTTTCTTTTGACTGCTCCCGTCATTTTAAAGAATATCACAACAGCAAGCGGAAAAGTATAAAAGCTTTGTCGGTTTTGTGAGGTCCGCAATGTAGAGCGAGGCTTAAAAAAAAACAATAATAACAGGGCCACTTAAAATCACAGATAATCTCAGAACTTCTCATATGTCATTCAGCCTCATATAGCTCCAGGTTTTTGGGTCTCTCATAAACAAACAAGCCAAATGTAAATGAGTTTTGTGAAATGTGGTCAAAGAGAAAGATTATCAGCAAATAATTAGACACTCATAACTATTACTTAAATTCGGAAAACTTTGAAAAATTGCTTGTATTGTTTTTTGCCTTTTTTGTTTTTTATTACTGTTTTTATGATACATCTTATGGTGTATGTTTGTCACTTTTGGAGTTAGACAGTTAGGGCCACAATGAAAGAAGCTGTCATAAAGACATCTCAAACAGTGTCATATTTCCATTTAAAATGACATACAGAAACTGAACAAATGACACTTAATGACAGTTGTCCTTAGTGCGCATAACATTTCTTTCATATTCATGACATGTATCATGTCATGATTATATACGTCTTATAAACTCCCTTTCAAGAAATGTGTTACCCATAATTACAGCCTAGATATAATAACAGAGTATTATCTATGGGGCGTTTACACCACTATACAAAAATCTGGGGTTGAAAAGACGGTTTTACTGATTTTTTGAAAGAAGTCTGTCATGCTCACGGAGGCTTTGTTGGATGTTGTGTGAAATGCATGTTTATTTCTCACCTGTCCCAGGAGAGCAGACAGCAGCGAGCTCTTTCCACTGCCAACTCCACCACAAACCCCAACCAATGACCCCTGGGTAAACAGCACAAGAATCAAGCGATCAAATTACAATGTCATATTTGATAAAAGTCAGTGAGTTCAATCTATTCATGAAGTGCTTTCCTGCAGGCTAGGACTGATCCACCCATGAAAATCTTGTTTGTGTCTGAATTCGAAGTAATGCTGAAAAACACGTCTGACCTGAAGACAGAGTAAAGGTAAACCTGCATACTGAGTGGTAAATGTACCTTCTGAATGCACAGGTCTATGCGGTGCAGGGTCTTGTGCAGCGGCGGTCTGATGCTCTGGGTGGAGGAGATAGTGCTCTGTGGACTCTCCTGCTCCATGTGTGTGAGGAGATGCTCAGCATTCGGTTCCTCGATTTTCCCTTTGTTCTCCTCTGTGATGATGTACAAACTCAGTTTCTCCCTCCTCAAAACTCTCTTCATTCCACCTCGTTTTAGCTGAGTTCGGCTCTTTTTCGTCTGCGAGCCGCAGGTCTTCTCCCAGGCCAGCGTGGCATCTTTAAACTCCACCACGTTATAAGGATCTTCGGTTTTGACCGAGATCAGCTCTCTGTCCTCCATCATGAAGAGTTTCTGTGGGTGTAAAAGGAGGCATTGATACCAGGAAGCCTAAGCTTGTTTGGTAAACAACACTCTGGAGGAATAGTTCTCCCATAATGAAACTTTTGTCATCATTCTTTTCCTCTACTTCTTGCTGTGTAATATCTGAGTGACTTTCTAGGAAATAAAAATGAGAGAAACTGCAGAACGTTCAGGTTGCTCTTCCTTACACTATAATTCACTAGGAACTGAGACTGTTATACCGAGTTCAGACTGATTTTTAAAGAAGTGGCATCACAGATGTTTTAACACTGCATAACTTTCTGGGGTAGCGTTCTGTCTGTGCTGTGTTTACAATGAAGGATGGATCGGCAACAGGGGGTTTCACACTGATTGAATTTTCAATAGGAGAATCAGCGATCTCGGTCTGCAAATTACATCTCACAACCAAACGTGAGAAGTGACACAGAAACAATGTGAGATCACATAGTATATTTCTTTTGTAATGAACTATATAATGAGAAAGAAGCCTTTAGCTCACCTGACTTTGAAGGGAATTAGAAATTTCTTCTGAACTTTTTCCTTTTCAACCCGTTTGTGATATTGCTCAGATGACATGTCAAACAGACACAGGCACTCCTGCCAAAATTTCCACTAGTTTTTCCTTTTTACTATTTTTTCCCCCAAACGGCTGAAAAGAAGCACTTTTTAACTTCTCCCCTAACCTCTCACTGGCCTGGAGTTACCCTTACTAGTGGATGCTGCTCTCTTACTGGCTGTAGGTGATCGCTAATGTTATTTTCAATCAGAACTCATTTCACACAGCATGATCTGAATCGCAGACATTTAGCATGCAAAATATCTCACAGGTGTCGGCAACTCATCAGCGATTCTCTCAAATTGGGTTTTTGATAGTTCACACTATGTGATAGGCTAACACTTTATTTTGATGGTCCATTTGAGTGTTAGTAGACAGTCTGATTATTATCTGCTGATACTGACATTTAACAGTACTTCAACAGACATTTAACTGACTATAAGAAACTTTGTAAATACATGTCGACTTACACTAACTCTGACCGCAACCTAACAGTCTACTTATAATCTAATAGGAATTAGTTGGCATGTAAATGCAATGTAACTTAAATTCAACAAATGGACTATCAAAATAAAGTGAGACCAGATATGGTTACACACGTGAACGAGCACCGATTTGTCTGTGATTTCAATTATTTGTCGATGACTTCACAAAACCTGTCAGTGCGTCAATATCGGAGCAAAAATTATGCAGTCTGAACTCATTGCATTATGGAGCATTAAGGTTATTATCATAAATTTATTAACTTTATTTTTTTACTTTATTAACTTTATTAACCCTAACCCTAACTTTAATGAATTTAAAAGTAACTAATTACTAATAACTTTTAACAGTTAAAGTTACATAACTTTAAAACATAGTTAACCTGCAGTTATATGTCAATATGTACATGTTCAATGAAGTGTATTTGTGTATTAAGGGTTAACTTTTCTGAATTTGATTGTAATGTTATAATGTGCACCTTTTGTAAAGCTGTTTTGAAAGAAAAGTTATTGTGAGAAGCACTATACAAATAAACTTGAATTGACTTTAATTTAACGAGAAATTTTGGGGGCATAAACATTTTTCCTTATACAATATTTTTAAATGTTTTTGAAAGCAATATCGTTATGCTTATCATCTGTAAACTACAAAAATGGTAACGCCATGTACATGCATATTTATGAGTTTAATCTAAAGTCCCTGACAGCTAAAACAACAGACTGCAGATACAGTATGTGTTTGTGCAGCTCAAGACACTGAGTGACACAGGCACGACTGGACTGGCAGGTAAAATATAGCAATTTTTGTCATTTTTGCTGATGCAAGTGGAAAATATATCATTTTAAGATGGTTAGTGTCTATATGCAAAAGTAAAAAAATACTTTTTCCATTTTAGTACACTGTTGTCATGTAAACTTACCCTTAAGCTGCAAAAAATATAGTAAAAATTGTCTAATAATTTTAATTTAATTTCAGTGCAAGTAAGTTTTAAGAACAACTGCAGAAGTGAAGATTATTAGGGACTAAGTCATATTAATAATAATTAATAATAATAATTCCTTACATTTATATAGCACTTTTCTGGGAACACAGAGAGCCGGGACCTCGGTTTAACATCTCATCCGAAAGACAGATATTAAAGGCTGTCATATTGATTAATAGTCCAAAAAAAGTGCAATGTTTGGAAATTTAACCCTTTACTCAACCTTCAGACAAATAAAAGAAAAAAAAGTTTTGTTTTGAAGCTTTAATGGCTCAATTAGTATTATATGGTGTTCACACACAATTGGGAACCCCCCCCCCCCCCCCACTAGTTTTATTCAGAGGCTCAATCTGAGCAAAAATACTCCATATTTACATTCTCAAAAAAGCAAGATAGAATTCTAAATAGTTTTTTTGTTAAAATGAAAATCTTTAAATAACACACACTGTATATAAATATCAGTTTATCACTCTTTTTTATTGTATTGAAAGTTGCAACCTATGTTTGGTTGTTTTAATAATCTCAAACTGATCTGATCTACATCAAAGCAATAAGTCTGCGATTGTCAGATCAAGGGAGGCTTGAACAAACTATGTAGCAATTTGGTAAAAGTGGGAAAGCCATCAAGGGATATCATAATTCATAATGAGAAATGTGTTATGTACAAGGTAGCAGTCTCTGATTCTGTGCACATTAGTTATCGTAGTTAAAACGGGAAAAAAACATCTCTTTATCTTAATATTTTTCTATTAATCTGTGTGTATAAATAGCTCTTCTTAATGCACGGCAATAATGGTATCCTCACAAACATTTTTTTGTCCTAAATATATTTTAAATTACATGTAACTTTAGAGATGTAGATAGGGGTTAATTTATCAGAAGCTACAGCTTCATACCTGTGTCACGACAGCTACAGAAACAGACAACACAAAATGTCAATCCATCTTGATGTATGACAAAGGAATGTATATGTGTGCTCTAACCAGTAAGAAGACTAGTAAAACAACATTTTCATGCACTTAGAAATGTTGTGTGTCAAACTTACAGGTAAATTAAACAGTGAAATCTCTGTTTCAGAACACAGCAAAAGATTTTTTAGGTTTGAAAATGTCTATCTGTAATAAGTCTAATTTCATAATCAAAGCTGTGTAGCTTTAAAATATATCTATATAATTATAGGTTTATTTAATATATACAGATGAAATCAAAATTTGTACCCAAGTACCCAAGTGTGGTTTTATGGAGAGAATGTTTTTTAAATCATTTTTAATAACAGTTTTAATAACTATTTTTTTTGTCTTTGCCATGATGACAGTACATCACAGTTTCTACTTATTTTGCAAGATACTAGTATTCAGCTTAATGAATGCCTTTTCAAGACTAAGTTAATTAGGTTAACTAGGCAAATTAGGTTCATTAGGCAAGTCTTTGGACAACGGTGGTTCGTTCTGTAGACAATCAATTAAAATATTTCTTAAGAGGGCTAAAAGTTTTGTCCTTAAATTTTTCAATTAAAAGTTTAAACTGCTTTACTCAAGCCAAACTAAAAGAAATACAACTTTTGCCAGAGGAAAACAATATTATAGGAAATACTACGGTGGCCGAGAGAGCTTATGTGCTGCAATTTAAGAAAACACATGCAATTACAAAAAACGGCAGCAAATTAAGAAAAGGTCTTCATCCGTTTAACAGCATGTGTGCTCACAACCCAAACAAATTTTTAAAAAACATGCTGCATTTTTCTCATAATGCAAACAATTCACGAAAATGCGCTGCATTTTCTTACAACACTTTCAAATAGCTCAGAACACAAAGAAAATATTTTAAGGAGACCCTAAAACGTAACGGACCCGGCTATTTAGATTGTGGTTATTTAGGCTAATAAAACACAAAAGACAAGGGAATCAAGATGTTTAAATAAACAAAGAAAAATCTCACCTTTCAAAAATCACCTGCAACTACACTGAGCAATAGTCACAGCATAGGGGCCATTGTCACGTTTTTGGGTCCACTTGAAACATTTCTGTTGTGTTCCAATGTTTTGGCAAGTTTTATTGCAAACAATTAATAAAACGCATTGCATTTTCGTAAATTGTTTGCATTGTGAGAAAATGCAGTGTGTTTTATTAATTTGTTTGCATTGTGAAAAAAATGCAGCTCGCTTTTTACTGTGTATTTGTTGTGAGGATTTGCAGCTTGTGTGCTGTCAAACTGATAAAGATCTTTTCTTAATTTGCTGCTGTTTTTTTTTTAATTGCAGCATGTTAAGCTCTCTTGGCCAACATACTGTAAAATACAGGAAAAATACAAAAAGAAAAATGAAATATTTCACAGGAGGGCTTATTGTTTGGATGTCAACTGGATACACAGTATAGCCTCAGTCCATTAACAGCTCATCCTGTATTTTTCATCTTTTCAGGTGCCTAAAAATGTCCTCAGTACTCGTTTATATCAGATTAGACAACAGGTTCTTTAAACTTCTTTAAATAAAATGCTCCCCATATGTGTTCCACTAAAATTAAATTAATCTAGGAATAAAATGAAGATAAGAAAATCATTTTAAACAGTCAGTTTTGTTCTTTCCCTAGTGAATATGGATGCGTTTCTGACCTGAAATCGTTTCACAGCCACGGAGCCCTCGGATAAAGCACGCACCGCCAAGGGCGTGACTTTTAGAGCAAAGGTCATGGAGTTGAAAACAGCAACAACAGTGAAGGCCTATGTGTTGTGACAGAAATGCAAACAGAACTTCATGAGTTTAAGTTCACAGTTGTTTACGAGCCTCGGGCAGGATGTGAGGAGCAGAAATATGAAAATATCACCTGTGCTGCAGTCAGATCATAGCCCAGAGCCATGTGAAGAGTGAACGTGCAGACGCTGGCGATCACCACCACTACTGGAGCCACACCTAGAGTCAGGCTCTGAACACAACCGGCCCACTCCAAGTTCCTCCGCTCCTCGGATCGAACTTCTACACACACATGTGAGAAAAGACATGCATTTTAGACTGGCAACTGCACCATTTTCCTAACTGTCCAGAGGTTGGTTGAAAAGACTGCTTGAACTAGTTTTTCAGGATCATGTGTCTACTGCTTTTCAGTAAGTCTGTTATTCAGTGGTAGCTTCGCAGACTTAGAATTTGGTCTTAGTTTTTTCACAGATAAAAACAAGTATCAAATTACAAACACAATCGCAAGAATCTATAGAATTTTTATGTCATTGACTAAAAATTAGATTAAAAAGGGTTAACAATAATGGGAAAAAGGGAGAAAGAGACCCAATTAAAGTCTTGCATGACTGAGTGATAGGTAGATGATAATTGTGAAAGTACTGATGTACCTGATAAGACATAAGTTAGCAAACGCTTTTCTCATAAAGCATTCAGATATGACAGTGTCTAGAAGAAAAAGAATAACACGCTTATGGATAAATCTGAAATAGCGTGGTAATGGAGAAAATAATTTCAAATTAGTAATGTATGTCAAAATGCCAAATGTGGGGTGTAAGTACATGTAAAACGAGGAGAATACTGGAGGTGTGTCAGTATATTTGTGCATTTGCTGTCTTTCTCATTAATCAAACAAAAAAACTTATAGAAAATCATCTGCTGATTTTCATTTTGATCATCACTTTAGTAGCAGTAAAAGGACTAGTCTCTTTACTGAACAATGCTTGAGTCATTCAATCGGTATTTTAATAATTAGAAAATCATGATATGAAATTTTAAAGCAACGTTTAATGAGAAATGTGTACTAAATGCATTGCAGTTTAAAAATAATATGATATTTAGTAAGGGCGCACAATATATCAGTGGCCATATCGTTATCAGCCAATAAATGCTATTTTTATTGTTGTCGTTATCAGTCCAATATCAATATTAGGCCAAAATCTTTAAGCCAATAGATTACGTAATTGTACAGAACTGCAGGGGAGACGTGTCCCAGTCACTGAATCCAGCATAGGTGTTCTCAACGGTCTGCCACATTTGGTCTTTATATTAAGCTCTGTGTTTGTCAAAGTCATTTGTGCTCAGGTGTTGTATCAAAATCTGATTTTCAAGGACAAATCTGACTCTGCTTCATGTGCATGCAAAGTTAAAGTTTCAAACTCACAGCGGTTTATCATAAACCTTTCATCAATAATTTTTCCCACAATTGACTGCAAGAACGAACAGAAGCGTTGTTTGATTGACAAACAATCTGAAACCCCAAATGGGGTGAATTTATGCCGCATTTTCTAAAGTAAATCACACTATCTGTATTTAGCTTTTCGCTTGTACTGTGGCTCTGAACTGTAAAAACACCTCTCTTTTTTCGAACAATAAATATCTGTAAATTTGTACATTATTGTAACATGTTTTATGCAAGAACATTTGAGCTGGTTTCAGTTCTTGATTATTTCATTTTAATTTTATTTAAAGATATTTATTTTACTTGCTTGTTATATGAATCTATTTAATCACCTTGCAATTTTAAAATTATAGCTTTTTTGCTTTGAGTAAGCTATTCAGTTCATAAGATCAGTTCAAACTTTTATGAAGTTTTTAAAATTAAATCAGTTGTTCATTATATAAAAATATAACATTTTCAAGTTTGTATATTTATCAGCTATAGCATATCAGTTATCGCCCTCATAATCTTAAGAGTTGTCAGTTATCAATACTGGCCAAAAATTCTATATCGGTGCATCCCTAATATTCAGCCAGGTAAAAGTAGACTGCAACTAAAACGTCACAGATGACAGAACAATAACTAAAACCAAAAGTTAGGTTTAGTTAGCACATTAAAACTATCAAAAAATGTAGTTAGAATTGAGTTATAATCATATCTGAATTCACAGGAAACTGAAGTCAATGTGTTCTTCTTGCAAGAAGCATTGAATTTACAAATGTTGTGTTGAATCCTAAAAGATTTAGATATAACACCACTTGAACTTTCTTCCTCTCATTTTGTGACTGTACATCCAGACAATACCTCACAACAAAACAATTACAATAATTCTAAAAACACATATATATCTCAGATCAATCAAATTCCTGGTTGCATTATAACAAGTAAATGTGTCTGTTTTTACTTCTAAAGATTAACAAAAAAATAAACATTTTCTGATTATTTACTTATCCTCTTTTTAAAAATTACTCATCATTTTGTTCTAGAACAAACTTAAACCCGCCAAAATTAAGGTATGAAAGCTGTCACTGGGGTGTGGTACCTCTTTTAAGGTACATTTTTGTACTTTACAGCTGCACATTAGTACTTTTAGGTTACAGGTTTGTACTGTTAAGGTCCTATGAGCTACCTGTAAGGACCTGTTAGGAACTAAAAAGTACCTTTTGAAGATTTACCACCCAGGGACAGCTTTTGAACCTTTAATTCTGAGAGTGTAGTATGCAGGAGTTGTGTTAATTCTGGGCTGTCAAAAATCCAGGCTGTCAAAAAGTCAACAATGACTCATGTTTATATGCATCAGAGGAGACAAATCCTTCAATGTTTTCAATTCAAAACTTTAATATCATGTCTGCTCAATAGAGAAAGTCACATGCATCTCTTGAATGACCCAGCACCAAAAAGAAATGTTTATATATTTTTAAATTGACCATATAAACGGACACATTTGAAGTGCTCTAAACAAGGCTGTGATGCGAATGCAGCCATATTGTGTTTCCATCCTACAATGTAGTTTCTAATTTACAACAGCCAAATGCTGTTCAATCCGGCGGCAACACTGCAAAGTGTGTCTGTAAGGGAAGACAGATCGTAATCATAAATGGGATGTTGCAGTAGATGGAAATGGCGAAGCATTGGCTGTTGTCCAAGTGGCCCATTTCACCCTCCTTCTGCTGCACTAATATTTGTCTCCCGACTGCCCGCAAGCTGGCACATTCATTCAGTGGCGCTCTCTGGCTCATGGCCAAAGTGTTTTGCTGCTGGTCTAAACAACCAGAAGCGCTGGACGTAATCTCTGAAAACACTGCTGGATCTCCATAATTCAGATATAGAGGATGCTAATCTATGCAGGTTGTGATATTTTATTCATAAGAGCATGTGAAAAAGATGTAAATGGATGAAAGAAGGCCATTCATCCTTCATTACACTGACTCTGCTTCTTAAAAGGCGATCTCAGGAAATAGGATTACAGATGTTGTACATCTCAGATTACACCATTAAATGATCAGTTTCCTTTATGTGGCCTTTTAAATGATTCAGAACCTTTTTCCCAAAAAGATATGAAATGTACTTTTCAGAAAAACAGCAATGGTGAGAGAATTTCCTTATATACTCACTGAAAAGATCTTTTTTCCTGACCTATCACCTCCTTCAATGCTGGATAAAATTCTACAATCTCTTACTGCTCCTAAAGGTCAAATTGCACCATTTTACATGATTATTATGTCTTCAAATGATGCTTTAATTGACCGATTTAGAGGAGAGTGGGTAAAGGACATTGGAACTGAAATACCTGATGAAATATGGGAAGAGGCTCTGAGTAGAGTACATGGATCCACTTCCTGCACACGCTTCAATCTCATATGATTTAAAATTATTCATCATGCCTACTACACAGAGTGTAGACTCTCAGTCTCAAAAATATATCCTTCAACTGATGAGGTGTGTGATCCATGTAAAAGTGACAAGACAGACTTTTTCCATGGGCTTGTCAAAAGTTGAGTGACTATTGGAAACAAATTTTTGAAACAATAAATGATGCCTTTAGTTTAGACATAAAACCCTGTTGTTAAGCTATTTTTGGTGTACAAGAAAACAAAATATCATTGACAAACAAGGAAAAAAATTTTTTATCGCCTTCGCTACTTTTTATAGCAAGGAGAAGAATACTTCTTAAGAGGACATCAGCAGATTTACCTAAAGCTTCAATGTGAATGTGTGATCTGATCTTATATTTGAAATTAGAGAAAATTAAATACTTAATGAAGGGATCTGTCCATAGATTTTATGAGACATGGCAACCTATGATCACATATTTTGAAAAAAGGAAGACTCTCTCCTTTATCTGATTTGTATAAAGAAATCCTTGCAAAAAGGTTTAAATGTGATCACCAATATAATTTAGTTTTATATTTATGTAGAAGACCACTATAAATGTGTCAGATTCTTTTAATATCATGTACTGTAGGTAAATATTTATCTGAATTATTTTCACACTTGATATTGTATACAAAATATACAATATCAATAAATAAATGTATACAATACTGTAAAGTTTATTTTTTATTTTATTATTTAAAAATTATTTTATTTTATTTTATTTATCAACTTATTTATTTTTTCCATTTTGCTATAAATGATCTATTCTTGTTGTAATTTTATTTTAATTTTATTTGTTTGTTAATTAATTTCAGTGGCAAGGATCAAAAAATGGGATAAAATTACAACCTTGATTGTACAAATGTTAATGTTAAAACTTCTTTTTTAAAGTTCTTTTCTTTTTTTTTTCTTTTTTTTTGGCCAGAGGAGAAATGGTCCCGCCCAACTAAGCCTGGTTTCTCTCAAAGTTTTTTTCCTTCATTTTCATCAATTGATGAAGTTTGTTCCTTGCTGCACATTGATGGGTTTGTTCTTCAGTGTTTGGACTTTCAGCAGAGAAAATTAAACCACGCTGAACTAAACTGAAGTTCAACTCTAACTGAACTAACACAGTTTCAATTTATGTTTCTCTTCTATGTTAAGCTGCTTTGACACAATCTACATTGTAAAAGCTCTGTATAAATAAACATGAATTTAATTTTCGATCCCTTATTAGATGTCAATAAAACCTGCAGTGATCTACTAAAACTAACATCTAGATGCTGTACATGCTGTTTGGATAAATATGAAAATACATTTTCCTGTCAATTAATTAAATAAACACAAATAAAATGACAGCAACGAAAGGACAGCAGTTAAAAAAGTACCTAATTATCACAATGTTGATATGCTTGCGCAATCATGTCAATGTTCATAAATGTCACGCAACGTGCATACTGTTTATCAGATCCTTTTGATTTTCCCAGAGTCCTTTACATAAAAATAGCCTAGAGCATTTATGACCTAGAAAGTCAGGTTAGGTAAGTTTCGATACAAGCCATTCACACAATTGTTTGCACACCTTTATAGCAAACCAAGTACCATTTATTTTACATATAGTATAGTAGAGTACATTACTAGAACACTTTTTGAGCATTTTACCTCAGGATGTTTTATGTATATACTGTGAAAATAGTAATTTTAACCTAATGATCAACTTTTTTAAGAGTGATTTAAGTTTCTTTATCATTTTTGCTTGGTTTTACAAACTGTTAACATTTTCATATTAGTCAATATTATTACTGAAATTAATTTCAAAGCTGAATAAATATAAATGTACACACATTTACACAAGTAAATAAATAAACTCAATGTTGAGCTTAAAATCTGCAAAAATTTGTGTATTTCTGCGTGCGGAGTCTCCATGTTGACCTACTCATCACCAAAATTGTTATCATTTAACATTCAAACTGCTACAAAGGCATTACAGGAGCAAGAGCGCTAAATGCTTTGTACATCTTAAAGCTCAGAGACTCTCAGGGCATTACAGTAACTGAGGACTGAGGAAGGACACAGCAAAGATAGCGGATTAGGAAACTTGAGATTGTTCCTTTGAATGCAGTGCAAAGCCACAGAGATCATCCTTTGATTTCCATGGAGACTAAGACATCTAAGCTCTCAGACAAACAGGAAGTGAGAGTGTAATGATGGGGCTGTTTGAGTGGGTGCATCTGAACGCTGTCTTACTTTGGATGTTGTTGGCAAACGGCGTCTCCCAGCAGTACATCTTAATGAACTTCATGCAGCCCAGGATCTCGTTCATCAGCCGAACGCGGCGGTCTGTAACTGCCACACACTTCTTACGGAAATATGCTGTCATGCGGGAGGCCAGCATCTGTGGGAAACAATTAAAATGAGAAGAACGACCTGTACAGCGAGACATGAGGCAGCAGGGTGTCCTGACTCAAAGGGAAATCCCCAAGAGTAAAACTATTGGAGTACAAATGACTGAATTTGTGATTTTTGTTTGTGTACATTTTTTTAACTCTTTAATGTGGCTCAGATTACATCTAAACACCTGCTGCTGCATGCATAAGCCTGATAAACCTCTTCTCTGATGTGATCATTATAAAATATTTCAGTATATTTCATAATATAAATAAATCTGATATCAGATTTTTGTTATTTCAAGACTTTTACAGACCGTCTAAAACGATGCAGCAGCATGAACATTTTCATTTTTCTATTCCGTGTAGTAGAGAACATCTTTTCTGGGTCTTCACATTTCTCTCAGTCTAGTCATGCTGGTCAGTTTATAGGGCAGGCTTTCTACAGGTTTTATCAAGTCAAATTTAAAAACTTTTTTAAACTATTATGAATGAAATTTCTTACTTACACAAGGCTAAACACTAAGGATTTTTTTCTAATGGCCCAGTTAAAACATTAACAAACCATTAAAAAACACACATAATATTGTAAGGAAGATTACTAAACCATATGTTTATAAATATAAATATGAATAAAGTTAATAAATAAGAGTTAATAAATAAACTTTGGTCAACTTTTATTGAGATGGAATGAAAGTGATTGGATGGGTGTTGGTGTGATTGGGTAGCTTTACATGGACATAGGAAAATTAAGACGTGTTGAAAAAAAATTAAGACCTAAAACACAATATGTTTAGTGAGTTTAAGACTTTTTAAGGACTACATTTTTGATTTTGAAATGTAAGATTTTTTAAAACCTCGCAGATACCCTCGAAGGTCAGTTTAGGTCAGGCCATTTTAGCTTGTCTGGAATGGATGGCTAAGGAATTTCAAACATAACAATGCGTATACAGTTGAAGTCAGAATTATTAGCCCCTTGAATTAATAACCCCCCTGTTTATCTTTTTCCCAAATTTCTGTTTAAAAAAGAGAAGATTTTTTACACACATTTCTAAACATAACAGTCTTAATAACTCAACTCTAATAACTGATTTATTTGATCTTTGCCATGATGACAGCAAATAATATAATTCAAAATAAGACACTTCTATACAGCTTAAAGTGAAATTTAAAGGCTTAACTAGGTTTATTAGGTTAACTAGGCAGGTTAAGGTAATTAGGCACGTTATTGTATAACAGTGGTTTGTTCTCTAGACTTTTGCAAAAAAAATAGCTTAAAGGGGATATAATTTTAACCTTAAAAGGGTTTTAAATTTTTTTTTTTTAAATGCTTTTATTCTAGCTGAAATAAAACAAATAAGACTTTCTCCAGAAGAAACAATATTATCAGACATACTGTGAAAATGTCCTTGCTTTGTTAAACATCATTTGGGAAATATTTAAAAAAGAGAAAAAAATCTAATAATTAGATTAGGGGCTAATATTGTATGTGTAAATATAATACAATAACTGTAATGCAGCAATAACACTAGAAATATGTAGTTATTATTCATTCTTTCATTCATTTTCCTTTCGGCTTAGTACCTTTACTTATCAGGGGTTGTCACAGCGGATTGAACCGCCAACTTATCCAGCATATGGTTTACACAACGGATGCCCTTCTAGCTGCAACCCAGTTTTGGGAAACACCCATACACACTCATTCACACACATACACTATGATAATTTTACTTATTCAATTCACCTATAGTGCATGGCTTTGGACTGTAGGGGAAACCGAAGCACTCAGAGGAAACCCACGCCAACACGGGGAGAACATAAAAACTCCACACAGATGTAGTTATTATATAGTGAGATTTTCTACATTAGGATCAAGAACATGCATAGAAAGTTTCAATACTTAAATGTGCTCTGATGTCTACCAAATGCATTACCAATGTGCTTCGATGGGTTATATTTTCATCGGTTCATGCATATGCTAATTTTACTGGGAAATAAGCACTGATGCTGCTAACGCCATACATTTATTTCAACGTTCAAAAAGCACAAAAACGTATTCCTTTTGTGGAAGTAATGTTTTTAAATAAATATATCTGTTACACTGAATTATTATGGGACATCATTTCACCAATATTTTGGCATTACTTCCACAACAGTAAGCATTAACATAGCATTAAAGTAGACATTTAACTTGCATGAAATATGTTTTGCATGCACATAAAATCCCCTTTTTAAAAATGACATTTTATGCATATTAAACTTCTGTATTTTTTGCTTTTTATGCGAGTGCAAATATCTGAATATAATATCTAAATAATAAAGTATAGTTTATTATAAATGCAAACAATTTCATGTATTTATGAGTTGAATTGTCCTAAAAATGACTTGATTATTTAAACTGAAAACACATAACAAATCAAAATCCTACTTAGATCACAACTATTGCCAGATGAAAGTTTAAATGTGATTTTTGGCTTTTTTAAATCTGCATCAAAGAGTAAAAACATATCTAATTTGAGCTGCATTCAGCTAGATTGGGCATTCATCCTTTGCAAGGAATGTAAATATTCCTTTCATTAACAAAAACATGAGTTGTGCTTATCATACCATTGTGGGATAGAAGATGATAAAAATGGCTGATCCCACAAGTGCAGTAGGTCCCAAGAAATAGGTAGTGTACGTCAGTCCCAGCATTCCAACAAGGGGCCCTCCGGCCAGCAGACAGCCCACTGAGACGGCCTCGTACAGACGCTGCCCATCACTCGCGCAAATGTTTACCAGCTGAAAGAGTAACAGCATGAGTCAGCACAACTAAAACATGGCACGCTTAACCTGCATCACAGCTGCCACAGTGCATTAGTGCTCCATCATGCTGAAAACCACAAACGCAAGCCCAAAAGGACACAGAGTGAGCCATGCAAAGTGGGCTAAAAGATCTAAACCCTCCTATGAACCCTTTCAGATGTTATTTCTCCTTTACATTAGATTAAATAAGGCATGATCAGAGACGCTGTTCTCTCAAAACTAAAATTCCTAGAAAAGCTTGTTTACAAAAGCACTGTTCCATTATCCTGAATGATAATCAACATACCTTATATAATCGTATATATAATTTTATCGCTTCTTATATTTTCTGATTATGAACTTAGCGCATGTGGACTGTTCATTTGTATTTACCTGTTATATATACACGGACATTTTTACTAATAAAATGAAAATGTCTAAAAAGATCAAATAACAAATCAAACTTTCAAAACAACTACCCAAGTGATAAATCAAATGCTCAAATAGTAAATCAAAAAGCATCCTCACATGAGAAATCAAATGTATTTGATATTCAATTTTCATGAACGACTCAGTAAAATCTTGTAATAATTAAATGACAAATCAAATGCTCAAACTATCATTACAATGGAGAAACCAGTTTCTGCTTCCTACTGATTACCCAAACACAGCTGGAAGCTCATGATGGACTGATTACTAGGACTATAAAGACACCTCTGTCTCTGTTTTAGTTTATTATTTTTTTCAATTGAACTATGTTTGTATCAATTTCACAAAGAGTTTTTGTTCACTGCAACTGATGTTTCCAAAAGTTGAGTTAACAAGAAAAAAATAAGGAAATAAGGATTATGAGTTTTTTTTTTTTGTTCACTCGACTTCAGGCGCTCCAGTTCTGCAGAATAAAATGTTCAGTTGGCACAACTTAAAAAGTTTTGTTACAGAGTAGTTCACCTTTCCAGAAAACTAGTAATCTTATGTTAACCCAACTAAATGTTTTTTTTTTTTTGTATTACTGACAAATAATTTTAGGTCAGTGCAGCTGATGTTTTCAGAAGTTGAGTGAACAAGAAAAAGCGAAAGAAAATAAGGATTATGTTTTTGTTGTTGTACTGGCTTAAATTATTTTACAGTGGGTGTAGCAGACTGATTCAATCATGCAATTTTAAAAAAATGACAGTATGTCAAAGTAAAAGTAATAACCACTCAATATGAGCATCGATAGTTGGATCAAATTGATCACTGATGACATTTATAACATTACAAATGATTTCTCTTTCAAATTAATAAAGTTTTTTAAAATTAGCATTTTAAGTTTTAGCTCATAAAAATGCTGATTGGTATTTATAACACACAGTTCACCTCTCCAGAGCTGACGTCTTTAGTGCTACGCAGTCGCAGGATTTTCTGGAAGGCGAAAGTAAGAGCAGCTCCCCGGAGGCGTGCGGCTGTACGGTAGTTGATAGCCCACATGAATGCCAGAGACCAGGATCGTGTCAACTCCATGAGGAAAATCCCTGCGACCAGCGCCAGACCATAGAGCAACTTCACCTCTGAACACTGTGAAAACTCCAGCAGGGCTCGGATCAGCAGAGCCTGAGAACAACACACAGCACAACAGGAATGCTGAGGAGGAGACCGGTGCACAAAGATATTTGGATTTATTTTTCAACAGAACCAAAAATACACAAGAAGGGATTAAGAGTGAGCGTTTTGTGTTATCAGAGCATCCTCTGGCTTCCGCTGGGGTCATGGGATCAAGTGCTGTTTGAGGGAAAACTTGATTTCTTTATCATAGGACAGTCTTAATTATACTACAGATCTGGGTCTTGATGCTGACTGGTGCAGTTACGATGTGGATCTTGAACTGTCAAAAAACTTAATTACTGAGTAATGGAGGTGTTCAAAGGTTTCATATTACTGAATATTTTTCAGCTAGATTGCATTTAAGGTTCCATGAATTTAAAATAAAGTTTTTTTTAGATACCTATAACCTGGTGTGTGCTTCAAAACAGACAAATTTCACGTTTAGAAACTGATATAAAGATCTAAGGCTTGAAATTTGTCACTTCTGCCTAAATAGATCGACGGTTTTATTCAAGTCACCTCATCACATCATAACCAATCAAATAATCTCTAGTATCTGATATGTCCTGCCCCTTCAAGACACTTCCCGTTTACTTTTCATTTGATGCACTTACAACTATTTACTAAAGTGATAAAACAAAACACTATTTTGGCTGTTTTTTTTTAAACGAGGAGAAGCTACACTATGACCCACATTATTTGTGTTTCGTTTGAGATTACGTCAAACATCTAATAAAAATGCACATTTCTAAGCACTTCACTGGACGTTTTAGAATATTAATTTAAGTTAGTTTTCCTGACAAACAAAAGATAATCATTAACTGTTAATTAAACAACATTAGAATGCTGAAGTAGATTTAATATGAATAGTTTATTTCTGCACAGGCTTAGTGCAAATGTGGAAATAACAGCATATTTAACAGTGTAAATAACAGCCGGATTCACACATCTTCTGTGAACGGAGACAATTTGAATAAATAAACAGGTTTACAAAAATGTGTCACTTAATTAATTAACACATTACCGAAATCAAAGAAAAAAGCCTATATGATTCAAAGTCTATGAGTTTCGGTTCAATTTTGTGACTGTGCCTTCAGTCATGTATTTATGGGTTTTTAAAAAGGCACAATGCTTTGTTTTTATTTACACAAATTACTATTACTGTTTTTTTTTTTGTATTTTTGAGAAAATAAGATAGAGTGCTCAGCATAATTGAGTACACAACATAGTTAAGTGAATATTTTTATCCATTTCTCAGTGAATATAGGCATTGTATTTTGGTGCATTTAAAACAGATATATTTATTAAAATAATATTTTAGTCCCCAAACATATTTAGAAATTGAAGGATAATAAAACTAAATTCAAGCAAAATATTGAGAAATGTTTTCAATTGTTTTACTTCTCTTGATTTTTTCCTCTTTTTTAAATTTGTAATTCATATTTTTAATAACAGATACATTTGGGTGTACTAGTTTTTAGACCGTTATTGTAAGTTATTTTGTTAGATAAGCTCCAAATTTGGCTTTAGTACTGACTAATCTAATGTATATGCACAAACATAATATTGTAACGCTTCCTATTCAAAATATGAATTTAAAAGAGAGATTTCTAAGGGGTGTACTTTTATACAGTATGCTGAGCACGGTACTTTCAAAAACATACAAAAATCTTACCAATTTTTTGAGTGATATGGATATATTTTACTTTAAAAAGAAAAGAGCACACAAATGCTGACCCATGCTATGGTAAACAAATTAACACAAGGAAGTAAGTGTGCTGTTTTGTAACATGTAATCCCTGATAATGCTATTAAGCGAGTGCTGTCAGGGGCATGTACAGCCTTGTGTGGGGAAATAAAACTAACAGCTGTGCTCCCAACAGTGTCGCAGTGAGAAACTCCTCATTACACCAAAATAAATCCCCTCACAGTGAAACTAATACGATCAGAAATGTATTTTTTGCACATTTAAAAAAAAATCCTAACTCTAAATCACTCTTTCTTGAATTAAGATATAAGCTCATTTGGCATCAGAAATAAAGCAGCAAGCGATAACTTGAATAAAATGAATAACATGCCTCCTGGACCATGGAAAATCCATGAACACGTCACAATCAGGTTGATTAATACTGGCTTAAAGTATAAAACAACCTCTGTTTTTCCATGACAAATTTAATTTTGAGTCAGCATGAGCTACAAATGTAATCTCCTGCTCATAACGGTGTTGATGTGAATGTGTGCAGGAGGTATGCTTTCTTTCTGACAGTGATGAACAATCACTGACGCTCTTTTACTGATGCACTACAGCTATTATCATGCAGCATGAAAATCTTGCCAATTTATCAAAATAAAACAGTAGGCAAAAAACCCAGGTGACCCAGGTGACCTCATTTCAGTGCCAATGTGATCCGAAGCTGTGAATCCAGTGAATACTTTATTATCTCAATGCAGCCAAAGCAGAGGATTTGTGAATGGCAATGAAGTGATGGAAATGAAAATCATGAAGATTTGAATTCTTCATTTAAATCAACAAGTTCCGGCACTTTTAGCAAGATGCGATAAGTCTCACATGTCCGCAAATGTGTCTGTAAAGTTAAGTGCTGACTAGTGATTAAGTGCTGATTAAGATTAGTGCTGTTTAAAGATTAGTTGTAACTAATCACTTACAAAATAAAGGTTTGTATTTATTTACATACACTGTGTGTGTGTGTGTGTGTGTGTGTGTGTGTGTGTGTGTGTGTGTGTTGTGTGTATTATTTAGTCATACATTTTCGGCTTAGTCCTTTTATTTATCCGGGGTCGCCACAGTGGAATGAACCGCCTACTTATCCAGCAAAGGTTTTACGCAGTGGATGCCCTTCCAGCTGCAACCCAGCACTGGCAAACACCCATACACTCTTGCATTCACACACATACAGTACACTAACTGGAGCACCAGGAGGAAACCCACACGAACACGAGGAGAACATGGAAACTCCACACAGAAATGCTAGCTGACCCAGCTGGGGCTTGAACCAGCAATTTTCCTTTAGTCCCTTATTTATCAGAGGTCGCCACAGCTGAATAAACCACCAACTATGTTTTATGCAGCCGATGCCCTTTCAGCCACAACCTAGTACTGGGGAACATCCATACACACTCCTGTTCACACATACTCACTACAGCCAATTTAGTGTATTCAGTTAACCTATAGTGCATGTCTTTGGACTGTGGGGGAAACCAAAACACCCGGAGGAAACCCACACCAACACGGAGAGAACATGCAAACTCCACACAGAAATGCCAACTGGCCCAGTCTGGACTAGTAACAGCGATCTTGCTGTGAGACGAATAAAGATATAAGCTTTCTTGAATAAAGATAATGAGCTTATATCTTATATCTGCACATTTACAATATATGTATATATAAATACATACATAACACAATATTAGGTTATTAGGTACATTAGTTGCAATTAATTAATTAACAGCACTATTTCATTTCAAAATACTCCATAGAAAAAAAAGAAAAGAGTGGTAGCAAAACAGTGGAAGTAAGATAAGCATTAAGGAAAAAAAAATGCATGTTGATATTCAATCTGTACATTAAACTGACAGCAGTGTAATTTTCGGTCCTACTTTATATTAAGTGGCCTTAACTAATATGTACTTACACAGGAGTTAATTTAGTTTGTTACAATGTACTTATTGTGTAAATACATGTATTTACTCTGTAATTATGCTTGATTAAATACATGTATGTAACTACATCTGTAATTAACTTTTGTAATTACATTTGTAAATACACTGTTGACCATCTCTTACACCTTAACCCACCCTTAAACCTACCCATGCCACCAAACCTGTCCATAACCCAACCTCTATCCCAACTCAAAAGCACCACAAGTGTTCTCAAATACATCATACACAGTAAGTACATTGTATTTATTTTTTGATGTAAGTACATAGTAGTTAAGGACACTTAATATAAAGTGGGACCTCATTTTCTTTACCTTCTTCTGTCTATGCTGTTGGTGTGAATCAAACTAAAAACAAAACAAACTAATAAAACAAAAAACACTGCTCTTGGCTAAATAGTGTCTCTGCAGTTTAATAAGAATACATATCATAGAGAAGAAAATTATTATAACTCATGACTACTTATAAAGTCCTTCTTTTCATCTTGAATCTTGGAAACCTGTAATCATAATTACTCATGCTGTGTAAACTAATGTTTAGCATTTACTGGAGATTTTTTCCATAAAGGACCATTAGGCCATCTGTCCACAAAAGCTTTATTCTTGAAGCTAGTTTATTTTATTTCAGTTTTCTGGTCATTAAGAGTTGAAATACTGATTAAATTTGGATTAACTTTGGGTGACACCCACCCAGCTGTCCGGTCATATAAGAGAGGGGTAAGACAAATATAACTAGCTCTACTCTACCATCAAATTCTACTCATAACACAATTGAACAACAGAGAAAGTAACTATTGCTTGTCCGAGCATCCCTATATGTATATATATCAGAGCATCCCTATATATGTATATATATGAAGTGTCCAACTTCATATTACCAGACTTCAAAAATATATAGAGGGTCATTTTGTTTACCCTAAGCTAAACTAAAAAACGGTGGTATAAGCGCTCTCAGCTGGTTAAAATGTTTTGGTGGATATTGCAAGCAGGTAAAAGGTCATTGTGAAAGGTCCAACCTGAGTCAGTCACATCAGAAGGAAAATGGAGACAACTGAAACTCACAGGTCCAACGAATCCAGCCACCATGGTGATGAGCAGGGAGAAGATGGCCACCAGCATGCGAGTCTGACAAAACCTCCAGAACACCCGAGACAGAGATGCCCCATCCTTCCCCCGTCGCTTCAGTTCCTCGTGCCACAGCCACTCCAGTCTGCAAAACACAGCGAGTGATTTTATTTGGAACATGAAGAAATGGGTATGTTTTATTGAAACCTTTTTAATAATTCTAATGATTAAAAACTATTCTGTTTAGTTGTAATGAATACATTGAAATACTTCCCATTTACATCGAAACACTTGTTTTAAAGTTTAAAGTCAGCTTGAAATAAAAAACTTACAGTGTTTATTTTACTAGCGCACATTGTTAGTCTTAATGTGAACAATTTGTTTTTGTAATATTTAATTAGAAATTTTGCTTCAGCTCTGATGATGTCAGTTTCCCTTAGCCACACCCCTCCAACCATCAGTTTGCTGCGAGTGAACGATGAAAGGAGGAGTGCAAAAATAAAGCCCTCCCCCAACTCAATATTCAGTTTCTGTTGGAAATACATCATCATACTAAAATTAAAGATCTGCCGCAACTTCCAGTTCACACAGGGTTTAAATTAAAGTCATTGTGAAAAAAAAAAATCAGTTTGGTTTTCTAAACGCATGTCATTTTCTTATTTACTGTGTATACATGCTATGTTGTAATTATGTCATGTTGTAAATCCACAGGCACATAAAGCTCAGAATTGTGTAAACTGGGAATACTACTGAAAGATACAACTTGTATTACATGGCCATTATACCACCTGACAGCTGGAGTTTACAGTGATCATAGTCTACAGATGTTAACTCTAAGGCCATGTGTTGTCATCCTGAAATGACTGAAATTACAACACAGTGTGAACATAATATGCTTGTGATCCTATTGTGAAAAGTGAAATCAAATTCATGCATTGCATATCTTTCTTCTAAAAGTCCTTGAGAGAAGTGACAGGCTTTTTTGTGGTGACTTACTGGAAACCTCCAATCAGTCAGCAAAGTTAACATCCATCTGCCTTCAACTTTTGAATGCAGTAATTGTTGGCTGCATCTCAAATGCTCAATTGTTAGTTAAAATATGAAGGAGGTGATTGGCTGCTATTTCCGTTTTGATGCAAATATAAAAATTTATTTGTTAAATGGCCAAATTAAAGTTACATCAGCCACAGAGGAAACTCCAAAATGACAGCACTGTGATTCTGATTGGTTAATAGCAGCATTCTGAGCTCAAATATTTTTCAATAACAATGCTGAACTGCACAACTGATATGAGTCCCTGCCAATCAGCTGTTATTTCTTACACATACAGTATGTTGGATTTTATTTCTTGTATTTCTCAAACAAAATGCACCATAAATCTTTTCTGTGCCATTTACAGAGCCCTTTATAATCACAGAATATCCCTCTGATTTTTGTCAGGTCCCAATTACCCTATTTGTCAGTATTTTGGTAAGTTGAAAAATCATCTTTTGTAAGCTGTTTGGACAGAACTGTGTGTATGTGTAGTGTGTCCACAGTCATATAGGGGAAATATAAACACAATAAGTCTTTTTTTATTTTATTTCCTGTTAAAATAGAATCCTAATCCCTCCCATTTTGATGTCCACCGCAACATAATGTAGGAGTGAGGATTTTCCTGCCCATTGAATTGATTGACAGACGCGTATTAACATGTCTCTGTAGTAGCGTATAATCATATCCACAAGACAGGACGTGCACAAAGCAAAAGAGATTAAATGATCTGTTCAGCTCACTGTGATTAGCAGCACCTCAATAATAAGTTTTACAACTTTAAAATGTTTTTAAAGCAGTGCATGTTTGTAATAAATAATATAATCGCTACGTAATTCATTACCACAGCCACATAGTGTACAATTATAACAATTATTCAGTACAATTATAAAAGAAGACGCTTCAATTCCAGTTTATTGACATAAAATCAGGTTTACTTTGTACATTAATATAACGGATGTCCATACAGCAGTGAATATTAATGTGTATCCTGTCACAATTGCAGTGCAAAGCTAAAAGTTTGTGTGTGTGTGTGCGCGCGTGCATAAGACCATTGTGTGTGACTCATCATTGCAGAAAGGCTTAAATTAAGTCCACAACAAATATATCAAATAAAAGGTGGGAAAGTCCTAACTGTAGTAAGGAAGATCTGCTTCATTCTTGTCTGTCACTGTGCTGTTTATCTACAAGAAGGCTACGGCTATAATATGCATGTGGGAACGATGGGCAGGGAGAACAGGCGCATTTGCATTAAAGCAACAGGCAACACAAACAGCTACAATGTCCTAACAGGTCAAATATCCCAGATTTTTAAAAGGTATAATAAATAATATGGGTATGAAATAATGGGTATTTTGAGCTGAAACTTTTCAGACACATTCTAGAGACACAGGGGTAAAATAGGTGTCTAATATAAAGTGGGACTGCATATTTTACTGGCTATTGATAATATTTATTCAAACTCAAGTGTTTAACAGTTTACACAAAGGCTAAATGTAAATGATGACAAAAATCAATAACGATACTAAATATTCAAAGTTTTTAGAGAAAACTTTGAATTTCCTTCAAAATGACCAAGCTAATGAAGATAGCAATAGCTTTCAAGTCATGAGCTAAAGAGCTCTACATCTGCTTTTCAAGAACCAATATAAGAAAAATACATTTAGAGCTTACACTATATCTCTCAGTAGGGAACAACACGTAGTGAATTGTATCTTTTTCATCAATTTCAATAGTCTTGCAAGTCTCCGATCCCCCCTGTCTGAAGATAACACTTTTCATAAGTGTTCCAGACGCAGGAAAAATACACACTCCACTGCACACCTCACGCACAAACATGTGCACATGCCTTAAACCTGTCCCAGCTATCTCTGACATGAATCCAGTAATGGGAGAAACAGACCCCGAGGTCAAACAGGGAAAACTGACACTGTATGTTACAGAAGCACTGAGGCATAGCTGTCAAGCCATTTGGACGGCAAGCACACAAGTCTGTATTTAACGTACACTCATTGATCGCAACAAACAAAGCACAGCCTGTGCTAATGAAGTCTGATCCACCGATTCATTCAGCAGATGTGGGCTAATGTCAGATCTGTGATGAGAAAGGGCAATTACAGATTACAGGTGTTTTTCCATGTCCTCGAGAAACCCTCTAAGCCAGTATGACTCTTCAGTCAATGAGCTAGCTTAGGTCGAAAGGGACATGGTGTGGCGATCTGACATGCTAATGACATAAGCGTCCTGCAGTAAAGGTGCAGACTAACTCTCTCTCTCTGATGTCTAATCCTTGCTATAAATAACACCCACCTGCCATAACTCTCCGTGCTGTGTGAGCGTGGGAGGTGAACATCCATCATTCCCCAACCGAGACTCGAGGGATTCCCACAACAACCCCTTGTTATCTACTGTGAGAAACCTTGGCTCACGAGGTGTTTTCTAATAGTTCTGTTTGTTCATATCTCAGCATTGACCAGGGGTGCATTTCAAAACAATGACATAACACGCAGGCTGAACTAACATAGTGCAATGCACTGTTTGGGAAATAAGCTGTGAAGTGACTAGTGTTTCCTGAACTCTGTTGGAGATCATAAGTCTGAACTGCGTTACCTAAAGCATTACCATAATGAAGCATCTTAAAGAGGTGGAGTATCAACTTCTTTAGATAAAGTCTGCAACAGATTATTTTTATGTAATAAAACTTTCTATGATTGTTTGTTTATGTATATACACACAATATAAATCAATGTATTTGGTTATGAGTTTCAGAAATGTTGCACATGTTTTTCCCAACCTTCAGAAAAGTAACAGATTTTCGCTTTTAATGTAAACTTATCTTTGGGCTTTCATTAGCCATGACTGCATTCAAATGGCATAAATATTCCCTAAGAAGAGACTACACTTTAATAAAAAATTATTTTGAGAGCAAAATATATAAAATGTGGAACATGCAAAGTTAATTGGCTAACAATAGTCTTGGATAAACAGGGTTTCTGCAGGTTTCAACAACTCAAATTTTTGACATTTTAACCTCATAAACTCTGCACACCTGGTATGAGCTACCGGGTCTGTGATGTTATTTACTTCAACATTCTTTACATTTTAAAGGTCCGTACTGGGTCAACACCCTCAAAAGTGGTTCCATTCTCTCATCAGTTGCAATAGAATATCTTTTGCATAGATTTTGATAGAGACATTTTTCTTTTTTCCTTTAATTACTGACATATGCAGAAACCACCAAATTAATAACAGCAATCTAGACCACGCAGAACCTAAGAGGTACACTTTCAAATTTGAGTTTTCAAAAAAAAGCACCTCTTTTTGGAGTTTTTTTTTTTTTTTTTTAATGATACCAAACCTTTGCATTTACTCCTCTGTGTGTGAATTTGGGAAGCTTTTGAATTTGGGTAGGCAAAATCCATGCAGAAACCCAAAAATAGCATTTGAATTGAGTACTTTTAAAGACTGAAATTTCAGATTTATACAGGGCCTATACTGTAAGAATCTTTACTTGCCCTATTAAAAAAATATATTACTTGAATAATACTTAAATAATGTGTCAAAACAAGCAAACCATAGAAACTAGGGATGAACCGATACCACTTTTTTACTAACCGATACGAGTACAAGTATTTTAATTTCTGTACCTGCCAATACCGAGTGCCGATAACGATACTTCATACATTTGGTTTTGGTTTTAATGAAGTTTATTTATTTATTTATTATTTTTATTTTTTTGCTGTAGCAGGGATGAACACAAAAATCTTTAACAAAAGGCTGTTCCAAGCCAAAAATATACAGACATTGTTGATAACCCTGCGATTCCATTGACCTTATCTATTAACGATTAAGAATGGACATTTAAAGGATGAGTTATCCTTGTGCGTCCACGACTTCACACATCACTCAAAGTGTGTGCAGTGTACATTACCTTATGGAGTCACTCTCTATGCAAGTCACTCTTTTCTTTGACAAGCTTTAAAAACTATAATATATATACAAACTATATTAAATACATGCAGAACATACAAATTTTATAGTGAGGAACTATATTGTTAAATAGAGTTATAAATAGAGTTAAGGTAAAGGTTGTACTGAGAAGTATTGTTGGTGACTGTATACTGCATACAGGTGTTGGCCTGGCTAGGTAGCTTTACATGGACATTGGAAAATAAAGAACCCCTTTAAAATGATACAAGTCAAATTTTCAGTGAATTTAAGACTTTTTTTAAGGCCTAAAATGTTGTTTTTAAAATTTAAGACATTTTAAGACCCGTGGATACCCTGGAAAAGCACCCCAGAATGAGAGAAACCTAACTTGGATGTGGCTCCAATGCAATTGCATTCAGACAAACACAACCCAAGAGAAAACTACTGAAAAACCTGACTTCCAGCATTCATAGTGCTGCATAGCTTTATGCATTTCTTTAGTTTGTATGTTCAGTGTTTAATAAGCTATCTTTCAGGAAATAGCCATATCAACCGTATCTTCCAGTTAACTGACAGACTTCTGGTGTGGTGACAAGAATTAAATGCACAATATTAAAGTTATATCAGCCACTGATAACATTTCAAAATGAAGTGTTTCCTAATAGTTCTGTTTGTTCATATTTCTGCATTGGCCAGAATGAGAGACACCTAACTTGGTTGTGGCTCCAGGGCACTTGCATTTAAATAAACCCAACTTAACATTAAATGAAGCTCAAAAATGGATTAGACAGTTTCCGCCAGAAGCTCACCTTTGGCAGTTTGTTTCTGAGGCCTCATGGCAAGACAAACCCCACACATCTTCCATTTTCAGACAAGAATCTTTGTGAGCCCTCCATGCCAGAGGGGACAGCCATTGCAGGGTCATGAAGGAGAAAAATCCTGCATTGTCCACAGGGTGTTGGTGTCTGGGGGTGAGAAAGGAACAGTTTGGCTCATATCAGTCATCTAGGCGCTATGTGTTATGTCTGGGAACAGTGCGACCTTGAACGCGAGAGGAAGACTGAGAAAATCTTTACTCGCTACGGCCAAATAGAAGATGAATCACACTCTTGTGTTTGAACAGCAGTTTGCACGTCCCTCTCAGAACTCTTATAGAGCAGTGAAAAGTTCAGTGGCTCTTTATCAGTCAGCATGTTAAAAATTGAGCCGTCTGTGAGGAGAGGATAAGAGCGCTCTTATCAAGGCCTCATTGACTTTCACTTGAGTCCAAATGGCAACACGGCAAACAAGCCTGTTTCACACCTCATGCAAAAATATTTCAGCCTGATATTATTAGCAGTTTCAGTTTTTCACACTGAAGTCAGCGGAAAACTATAAATATAAACTATACGCTGTAAAATTGAACAGTTTGTAGTTTCACATGTATTTTTCTGTTTATTTACACTTTGGAATTGCATAATGAGACCTTGATATCTGCTCCAACAACTTTTATGTTGAAAGTTTAACCCTGCAGTTTATCAAAGTGACTTTTATTGACATTTTTAATAGTTTAAAGTAATATATTGTCTGGGTAGGTCTTATAATGAGCTATACAAAAGCCTGTCATTTTTCTGTTATGATAACATTTAATCATTGCAAACATAATAAATTTACTACAGTGAATCACTATGTTACAGTGCAGGCCAGTTTTTACATAAATATATCTGATATGCTGAACGATGATAAAACATGTATTAGTTTTATTTTTAAAAAGACATTTAAATCATTTAAATTCTCGCCTTTGATCTAGTCATTTTTTGTAAAAACGATTTGAAACAACCTCCATATTCATATATAAAGTCAAGCAGAGTGATGTTTCCACATTTCAAGCATTAATAATCATAAAATAAGCTTCATGGCTTTGTTGTGGATCCAGCATAAGGGAGTCTAGCTGTTGAAAACAACGTGTCAAAGTAAATTAATACCTTGTCCTGCAGTGTGGCATGCTGTACTTCAGCAAGAACTATTTTAAACAGCATTCGCTAATTCCTCTGTAATTATTATACATGCAGAGTTTATGAGCTCAAATTAATTAAGGGACTGCATGGAATATTTAGACACGAAAGTAATTAATTTGTCACACTGCAGAGCCATTAATGAAGGAGTGAAGTTGAAAACTAAAATAAAGTCACAATCCCTAAAATACACACATACCCTATAACAAACACATTTCTTAACTCTGATTTGTGACATTGCACCATAAAACCAATCAGAAGAACTGAGTTTTATACTTAAGATGAAAGCTAAATACATACATATATCTGGAATCTGAAATCAAAATATTGAAAAACAAAATGCTTTATGCCTTTAAATATGTCCAAAATTATGTTCCAATCAATTCTATTGCTATACAAAAAATTAGGTTTTAATTGACATTTACAAAATATTTTCATGGAACATGATCATCAAAAGAATAATTCCATATCCATAATTTCAGAATAATTCCATAATTCATCAAAGAAAAATCTGTAATTTTGACCCTTAAAATAAAAAATTACTTGAGCAACATAAGAATGATTTTGTGCTCCAGGGTAGGGCTGAACAAAATCGTTTGAGCATTGATTTCGCAATGTGAGTATTCACAGTAGTCACATCGCAGGATTATATTATTTATTGAAGATGATGATAAATGATAAAGAGGATGATAAATTATACAATGATGGTCATGTTTTTTATGTTTGACTGTTAAATTTCTGTACTTGAATACTGTTACACTCCCCAGAAAACCAAAGCAGTGTTTATTTAATTTTTACTATTGCTCTCCCGTATTTATATATGCTAGTAATTAATTATATTTTTTGCACATGGACTTGATTATCCCAAACTTTTTCTAAATTAATGATTTTTTGTTCAAATAGAGTTATTCAAATCACTTATAAATTTTATTTTCGGCTTAGTCCCTTTTTTAATCTGGGGTTGCCACAGCGGAATGAAATGTTAACTTATCCAGCATTTATTTTTTGCAGGATGCCCTTTCTTAGAGATACACCTATTTGAAAATCTGCAATATGAAATCGAAATATTGAATAAAAAACTTTTAAATATGTCCATTGAATCATTGCTATTACTATACAAAAATTACGTTTTAATACATTGACATTCACAAAATATCTTCATGGAACATAATCTTTAATTAATATTCTAATGATTTTTTTTTTAATAAAAGAAAAATCAGTAATTTTGACCCTTACAATAAAAATTTTTTGCAAAATAAGATTTTGTGTTCCAGGGTAGGACTGAAAATATACATCGTTTGAGAATCAGTTTTGCAATGTGAGTATTCACGTTAGTCACATTGCAGGATTAGATTATTTATTGAAGATTAACTGAAAAAGATATTATTAAATTTTATTTTTATTAATTATTTATACAATGATGGCCATGTTTTTTTTATGTTTGACTGCTAAATTTGTATACTTGAATACTGTTACACCTCACAGAAAATCATAAATCAGTGTTTATTTAATTTTTATTTTTGCTCTGTCGTATTTATATATGCTAATAATTTGTTATACGTAATGCACATGGACTTGATCATCCCACGTTTAATCTAAATTAATCAAATCTTTCCAAACAGAGCTATTAAAATCATCTGGTGAAATTATATTCTTATCGATATATTTATTTTGCAACAAAATAAAAAAAATTGCAATCTTAGATTTTTCCAATATCCTACAGCTCTATTCCAGGGTCTTATTTATTTTGTTATATACCCACAAAAATACAGTTATAGCAACTATAACAAGAAGAACTTACTTGTGCGTGATCCTGAAGGGCTTCAATATCTGTAAACTCTGGCGATATCTGCCTCGCCTTTTCGTTTCAATGGCCAATTCCACTTCATCTTCAGGGTCTGAAGGGGTCAGTTGTGGGGACAGGGTCAAACCCTCCACCTGTCCTACAGCCTCCAATGCATCTGGGAACATACCTAACTCTAAAAGTAAAACACAAGCAGAAAACACTTCAAAGTACTTCCAGACTCTTGGGATAAGCTCCCAACCATGCTCACAACGTGCTGACTAATATCAGTGTGTGTCTAACTTTGGTGACTCGTACCTTCCTCCACGTTACAGCCTTGGCTACAAATTTAAAGTGCTTATCTATTTAAAGACACCTGTGGGAGGCCTCAAGGACTTGTGGATACTGAGACGGAGGATATTCGAGCTTGCCGTGTGTGTTGACCCTGTCACTGATCCATCTGTGGCATAAGACACGATAAGGTAAATCCAGCAGCACTGTGACTCTCTGTATCTGCTTGGTGTACGTCACTATAGTGGCTGCCAGATAATAAAAGATAGCCACATAGTTTCATTATTTACACTGCATACAAGAAAGAATCCGTGTTAGATAATGGAACTGAACATTATGGATGTAAACAATGATAACAGGGACATTTTGACATTTGAAAAAAAAGGGATAAGGGAATGAGTTTTGTCGTATTTTATTATGTTGCTGCAACCTAAAATGATCTTGATGTTCAGTGCAGTTGCAGGCTTATAAATGATAACTTTTTTTAAAGTATTATAGTCTGGCTCTGCATGCACAATATATCGTTTCACCGTTGTTATCGCAATGTGCACATCCGCAATAGTACACTGCAGGATGGGCAATAATCTGGATTATAGTTGACCAGGAGCCACAGTTCAGAACATATGCGAATTGTGAAGTCACTGCCGATATTAACCATAATAGAGTGAAAGTTTGTCATTTGCATGTGTTTTCAAGGCTGACTGTTATCATCTCAAAAGCATTTAAAGCATTCAGGCACAAGACGTTATTTAATTATAACGTTTGGATGTTTAACAAAGATTAATTGTATTTAATTATTTATAAAGTAAGACTATTTTAGATTTTATTATTTAATGTCTGTACCCAAATACTGTTAGACTCCACAGAAATTCTTAAAGCACTGTTTATTTCACTTTTATCTTTGCTCTAATGTATTTATCTATGATTGCAATTTGTTTATTCTATTTTATGCATAGTTTACTTTCCTACAGAATCAATATATTGTTATAATACCGCTATTCAAGCCACCTGGGGAAATTGTATTAATATACAAAATCACAGAAAAAAAAGAGATTTTTCTGATATCGTGTAGCCCTTCACACTATATTACACCTTTTCAAAATCCACATGATTTTTGTGTGACAGAACCAAACTGACATTGATTGGATAGTTCAACGGAAATATAGGAGTTTATTTACTATTCATTTACCGTTAAGCAAATGCAAATCTTCTTTTCCTTCCTTCTTTTTTTGCTTTGTTAAATGCAAATTAAGACATTTTAAATGCTGGAAACACTGACATTCAAAGTAAGAAGAAATGAAGTGACTTTTCAAAAAATATTCATTTGTGTTTAACATTAAAAACAAAACAGAATCAGATTGAAACTAATTAAGAGTGAGTGAATATAGATATTTACTCACAACTTATTTACTCTCAAGCAAATCCAAACATATTTTTCTTTTTTATTTGTTGAACACAAAATTAGATATTTTAAATGCTGGAGCACTGACATTAAAAGTAAGAAAAGATGTACAGAGTTTTCAAAATATGTTCATTTGTATTTAACAGAAAGAAATCAGGATTTGATTGAAACTGAGGGTGAGTACATTTAGATATTGACTGACCATTGACTCACTTTCAAGAGAATCCAAATATTTTTTTTTACTTTGTTAACCACAAATTTAAATATTTTAAATGTTGTTTTAAAAATGACATCCAAAGTAAGAAAAAATGTAGGGACTTTTCAAAGAAACATTCAATTGTGTTTAACATTAGAAAGAAACCAGAATTAGATTGAAACTAATTAAGGATGAGTAAATTTAGATATTTACTCAAAATGTATTCACTGTCAAGTGAATCCAAATATGGTTTTTCCTTCTTTTTTTACTTTGTCAAACACAAAATGAGATATTTTAAATTGTTGGCAACACTGTCAAAGTAAGAAAAAAATGACAGAGTTTTTAAAATACATTTGTGTTTAAAGGAACATTAGCAAATTATGACAACATTTTTTATTTTGGGTGAACTAAGTTCTTACGTTTAAAGAGAGAATGAAACTCAAACAGGTTTGAAACTTGTGGAACAAGTAAACAAGTAAAGGATGAGTAAATAAAAGCATAATTGTCTTTTCCGGGAGAACTGTGCCTTTAATCTTGATAAAGTTTACCTAGAAACTTGTTTATGATAGTAATGTCAGTAGTTGATCTGTAGTCTACATTACACCTGCTACTTTCCCCATCTTTGTTTTCTCTCTCTGTGTCTGGCTGTTCTCACTCCAGGCAGTGAGAACTGTTTGTTCTCTGCCATTACTGGACCAGCCCCCAATGGGACCCTCATATGGGACACTTCTGAATTATTAAAGCAACATTTACTTTTAACAAATATGTTGTCATTAAATGACGATCATGAACATTGACTTTCTACAAGTCAAAGCATTGCTGAGCAAAATCAACTCTGAATCTCTGAAAGTTTTTCAAACCTTTGAAGTGTGAAGAAGGTCACTTACATATCAACCAGAAAACGTCGGGATTTTCACCCACTTTCCTTTCAGCTTCGGAATGGTTATTAATGATTTATTCAGAAAGCCACCGCTCTCTGGGTCGTCTGCTGCACATGACACATCTTCTCCTGGTAAAGTAACTCAAACAGCATGAACACTTATCCGGTATAAAAGTTTCAACGAGTTAAAAAAAAGGCCTTTAAAAGGAGTGCAGCGGAGAGTTTTAACACAGCGCTCAACCCGGAGCGACGTTTTGAAACGTGCCCCAGTACAGCTGACGGAATTCCCTAAAAGTATTTCACGTCACGCCCGAGCAGCCAATCACGGATTTGCTTTGTCGTCGCTAAGGTAACCGGACACGAAGTAGCAGGAAAGAGCACGTGGTGATGATCTTTGCTGCAGCACACAGACAGATTACCAGACTAATTTAGGCTGGTGGGGTCAAACGAAGAGCGTTACTGCATATGAAACAACAACAACAAGCGGGTGAAAAATGCTCATTCATTGCAGAACTAATGTCTTCTAAATAATATATGTCCGCGATGTGACGAAATGATCATGGTTCTTGTGAAGTGGTGTTCCTGAAAATGTTATGTAACGCTGATAAGACTGTAAGACCTTCACTATTTCCGCTTATAAACGAGCACTGGTGCATTCCTAGTATCTTTCCGTAAACTCACAGTACAATAACGTTTATGTTTTGCTTTTCAGCACCGAGTAGCCATGGATACAGTAATGTTAGCTGAGCTCTCGAATGATTCTGTCTCTATCTTTAGACGTGTTTACTAATTCTTCCTTTAGGTCGGCATGACCTTGTGCTGCGGTGTTATGCAGTTGAGAATCTACAACTGGCAGCATGTTGTTCATTTTCACCATAACATAGCTCTGTGGAGTAAAGTGGTGGACGAAGTAACGTTATGCAAATTAGGAACAGATTGTCCATCAGTAAAATAATAATGTTTTTCTTTTCTTTTCAAAGTAGAAATGATAATTGAATAAAACCAAAGACTATATATTACATATACAGCATGCCTTAAAGTAGAGGTCAGGAACCTTTTTTCAACAAAGAGCCATTTCAGATATTTTTTTTTTTTTATCAAATGCGTTGAGAGCAAAAGAGCCATGGGTGTGTATATAACACAACCTTTATTTATTTATTTTCTTTTAAATAAAATAATTATTTATGTCCATGCACAACTCAAAAATAAACAAATATGACGCAGCATAATGTATAAAGAGAGGACAATTTACAGATTTTTTTCTTTTTGTCATCACCACTCATGAATGTTTGAATTTACAAAAAAGTTTAATTTACTTTTTGTTCACATTGTCGTTTTTGTTTCACAAACGGTTGACTCTCTGTGATAATGTGTTGCGGCTGGAAGGGCATCTGCTTCTAAAACATAAGCCAGAGTATAATTGGCGGTTCATTGCAGGCCACCATAGATAAAGCAGAGAATACGCTGAAGGAAAGTGAGTCCCCAACAACAGATTGATATGCATGCAAGTCACTTTAATAAGAGTCTGTCTTGTAGTCATAATAGTATTATAATATGCATATTTGTTTACTTTATTACCCTAATCATTTATAGTGTAATTAAAACACATTAAACCTCTTTAACATTAAAAGTACATGCTGAAAGTCACAGTTGTAACTTCATTTAAACTTTGTATGCCAGTTACTTTCTGTGGTGTAAAATAACAATTTACAAATACTTAAATTACTGTAAATGAGTAGTTTTTCTCAGGAATTGTTATTTACTAATTAGTTTTTTAATTGTGTAATTGTATTTCACTTTGAGTACATTTTTAGTGCAGTATCTGTACTTTTACTCCACTCCTTTATTTATTTCTTGTCTATGGTGATTGGTTAAATTAAAAAAAATTCTGTTCTGTTCAATCAAACAGCATAGAAAGTAAATCACATCATACTGAACAACCTCAAGACATGGATGCTTTATAAATGGTTTATATATGCTTTATAAAAACATTTTTAAAGCATTAAAATGTTCAAGAAGATTGCCAAAATCTTTACACGGAATGACCTAGAGACATAGACGGCATGTCACTAATGAGAAGATGAAGGATATTGACTGTGTGATGACTGAAATCACCAAACAGCCTTACAAAATCAATAAATGGATCGAATGAAGAAGGAAAAGAAGGACAGAATGAAGGAAGGGCTGAACAAGGAATAAAAGGAAGGACCGAATGAATGAAGGAAGGACGGAACAAACTACTGAAGGAAGGAAGGACCAAATGAATGAATCAAGGATTCACATCCCTGCACAAACTGCATGCAAACTTTTTACTGTGTAATACTCACTACTCGCAATTCTTGAGTACTTTTAAAAGTGCTACTTTTTACTCATCTATTGAGTAATATTTTTATAACAGATACTTTTATTCTACTTTTACTCAAGTATGATTTTTCAGTACTTCAGTACAACAGTTTGCCGTTGTTAAGCTGTTATGTTGCTGAAAAACAACGTTTCTACGATAGAAACTTACAGTTATTGTAACGATAGAACGATAGAAACAGTTATTGCTGTCATTGATGGTTAGGACAATAAACTCATTTTACCATGGAAATCGTACTTTAATTGCATGTCGTCAAATGTAATTAGGACACAGTGTAAACTTGATAGTCAGGCACATTCACTTCTGTTGGTGTCATCAATCTGGTAACCTGTGTGTGCGAGATAGAGGAGGGGCCGGGTGAAAAAAACCACTCAAGTGTTTGAAATGCGGACTGCATTATCTAGTTCAACCACTAGCTGTCAATCCTATGTACATACGTGTTACAGCTCTGTTTTGAAAACCCATAATAGGTGCACTTTAACAGGTATAAAACAATTAAAGCAGCATCAGGAGTTGCTTTCTTCATTAAGTGATCGTCATCGAGTGATCCTCTGTCAAGATCACTTCATTCACTGAAAAAAAATCATTCAAAGATGATTCCTTGAATTAACTTTTTTTTTAAGTTAAGTGTTTGTAAACTATTTATTTGGTCAAAATTTAAACAAACAAATTGTTGAACATTACTAAACCCAATGTGTTTGATTAAATTCAACTCATGCAAATTGTTTGCTACAATTTTGCAGACATCCTTTTTTTCCAGTGTTGCATATACTGCTTTATAGAGACATTTTTCTGATACCTTTATTGAACTGAATAGGCAACACTGACTACAAACGGATAAAACAGATATGGTTTGGAATTCTGTCTTTTTTATGGTCATCATGACTCGCATATTGTGAGATGCGTTTTATTCAAATTTCAGTCAAACTACACCAGCCTTCATTGGGATATGGGCAGAGACTCATTTTGTGTGTCTTGATCTGCTTTTTTGTCATTCACACTTTTTGAAATAAACACTAACAGAGCGTTTGCGTCAGGTTTTAATCAAACCAAAATATTAGTGATGTATGTTTTTGAATTTTGTGTGCTCAAATTAATTGCAGATATGCCTACTGTACCTTTGTACTATAACAAAGCAACATATGAGCACACGTTAAAACCACACAAGTGTGTGCCTGAGAACTTTTTCAGGTGTCATTTAGTTTCATGATGAAATGCTGAGCTGCAGACCTGTGCTGTAGTGACCTCTGTTGGCATATATTACACTCCTTAAATAAGAATTGCCTAAAGCAGTGCATTTTTAATGCTGGTCCTGCACTGGGGAATCACAGCACTGCACATTTTGTAGTTCACTTTTCTATTTAACCCACAAGATTTAAATCATCAGCTCATTGCAGAGAGATTCATGAACTCAACTGACTGTGTCAGAAAAGAGCCGTGGGTCTGAAAGAGCTGAGCAGGTCTGAAAGTCACAGTTCAGTGCACAAAGCGCTGTAAAAGTAGTGGTGGTTTCAGATGTACTCTTGGTTAGGCCACCTACTCAGGCCTTGCCATGTTTGGTTGTGATACGTAATTAATCTGATCTGAAATACTGCATATGTTGCGTTTATGTAGTGTGATCTTGAGTTTTAAGGCAAATTAATGTTTGATTTAGCAGCATTGTTAAAAAAAAACTTTTTTCTCTTCAATGAAAGTTATTTGCAAAGTGATCGTATGAATAACCACTATGTTACCCGGCAAGAACTACTGTAAAAACAACATAAAAGAACTACAGTGATTAGGTTTTTTAAATTATAAACACTGAACACAATATAAATACGTAAGAATAAAGTGCTGTGTAAAATATGTTTGAATATTTTTTTTTACATTTAACTAATAATAAACTCGTAAAATAAAATTAGCACAGTGATGAAATCGATCTACATTTTGCATTTGTGGAATAAAAAATGCTATATATGGGCAATATCACACGAGTAGCAGTGTAATATAGCTGTATATCTGCACTGGTAAAACACCATATTTAGGTGTTTTATATTTCTAAAGTTCCTTTGCATTTCCACCTGCATTGACAATGTTCTGAAGAGATGATGTTCTCATCTTGTTTTTCAGGACTGATATTTTATTTCATTTTTTAAGCAAAGATGCTAAATTGTACAATAAAGCCATTATATATTTCTGGTCTTAGCATTGCTCAGTAGCTATTTTCAATGATTGTTGACTTGCTATTGATTATACCCTCATCAGTTGTCTGTTACTTTTTTAAACATAATTTCTATACAACAATCATCGACCACCTTCTTGAAATAAATATCTTTTTCTGTTCAGATCTCAATCTTAAGCAAATAACTGAGAAAGCACCAATCAGTGGCCTCATTTTCAAGGTGTCATTGTGTACAGTAGACTTCTTTCAAAGTATTTACAGTATTTTGAAGCTAAAATATACTAGATAGTAAAGTATTTTGATACAAAATATTACCTCATTTTCATTAATCCTATCAAATATACATTACAAAATACTATTTTGTATATGAAATGCATATTTGAAATACATGTATCATAAATACTGCCCATGCCTGATCAAAATAATTAACCTTAAAAAGCCAAAGCAAAGCAAAAACTAGCAGACTATGGTATAAATACAGCACTACAAACTAAAAAAGAGAGAGGTCGACTTAAAATGTCACTTACCTTTTCTGTAATGATTTGATCAGCTGCAGTTTGAAATACGAAAAGAAAACGCAGTTTTTACCCCCTAAGGACTTATTATTTGGTTTCTGTCGCCATTTTGTGGTAGCCAACCGTCAATTTCTGTGCTCTGCATGCTGATGGCCGCCGATGCACTGAATCTCTAAAATTATAAATATTTTAAAATAGGCGCTCTCATTATAAATAAACTGCATTTGCAATCTAAATAAAT